TTTAATGAACTAAATGGCGTGCCCTTGCCAGTGGAATGCAGGTAATTATTTACCATGCCTTACAGTTAATGTAAAAGGCAAGCTTTTTGTCTGCTTTTGTGTATTCACCCAATAAAATTAGTAGAAGAAACATCAGTCATTTAAGATAAGCAGATGGCACCATCTTACTTGCAGAAAGCATCACTGAACTGAAACAATTTCTGTTGACAAAAGAAGAAAGTGCAAAAGCAGGACTGCAGTTGAATGTTAAGGCAACAAAAATCGTGACTACAGAAGAACTACATAACTTTAATGTTGACAATGAAGAAATCATCATCTTAAAGCTGCAGAGCTGGAAGGGACCTTATGGATCATAGAGTCTAGCCCCTATCAAGGAGGCACAGTGGGGAATTGAACTCCCACTTACATGCCAGGTTTTGGAAAGCAATTAAGTATTTATAACTCTCCAGTGTGAGTCAAAAACTGCTTTTGTATAATTTTTTTGGTCATTTCTGGAGGTCTAATAAAGGAATCCCCCCTGCCTTTGAATTGTTTCCCCACCTAGTGTTATTCAACTCAGTTATATGGCCAGATCTCATACAATTGAAAGTCCGCGCCCCCCCAAAAAAATTGCACCTTTTGCTTTAAAGTTGAAATTGTATTATTCAGCCTTTGAGTGAGAATATAGTATAATGCAGATGAAAATTAGTCATGAAGTGGTGAATCCTCATCTCACCTCAGTCGTGACCAATTAAGGTGCTGCTGTTGTCATCTTCCCTGTAAGTATTTAAAATGCCTCCAGTGTTTTATGCATTTAGCCACTTTTCAGCATCTGTAATCTGATAAAGTTTGATAGAAGATCCCTAAAAACCACAAGTTTGAGTAAAAGGCATCAATTTTCATTTAACATCCCCTCTTAGCTCCTTATTAGCATGTATGGTTTCAGGCATTAGTGATTAGCAAAAAATCTGAAGCCTACTAAGGCAGTGAATTCACTAAGAAGCCTTAAACAAGCTTTGTCCTTTCTGCCCAACCTGTATATGTAAGATGTGTGTACAGTGGTGCCTCGCAAGACGAATGTAATTCGTTCCCGCAACAAACGCTGTCTTGTGAAAAAATCTTGTGAGGTTCCTTATGGGAACCTCGCAAGACAAATGAAATTTATTCGTCTTGCGAGGCATCGGTCTCAAAACAACAACAACAACCAACGTCTTGCAAAGCGTGGTCATAGAAGAAACCGTCTTGCAAGGCACCATAGTGATTGCAAAAAACAATCATCTTGCGGGTTTTTCGTCCCACGAGGCATTCATCTTGCGAGGCACCATTGTATTACATTTGGGCAAGAGAGAAATGGCAGACTACCTCACAGGCCATAGGGCTTGATGAAATGACCCAAGTGATATATGTGAAATGCTACAGTCCAGCTGAGGGCAGCTGTCACAGCCTCGTTATTCCCTTCTGGTGAAGGGCGGTGTTGTCTGTCACACAACCTGTCATAATTCCTCTCAATTAGCCTCCTGGAAAGCTGAGAAAGCTATCCTACTCCCATGCTGAAAGATGATTCAACTGTCAGCCCACCTACCTTCTGTCTATGGGAGGGAGACCCATGTTGGCTTTTGCCTCAGGCAGAAAAATAGGTGGAGCAGGCTCTGCTGTGGTAACTTAGCAAGCACAGCTGTTGCTTGCAGGCTTCACAGGGTTAATGAAGAACATTTTAAAGCCTATTTAAACTGGCATGAGTCTAACTCCTTTGTTCAAAATACAGTTGTATTATATATATATTTATTTTCAAAGACAATGCTGAAATTTATATCTGCCTAGGGCATGATGGCTCAGCATACAGAATATTTTGATATTCATAACAACGTGACTCATACTGCAAAGAAGTCTGGCTGTCAAAACAATGATGTATGAGGTTCTTTGGTCTTCCAAATAAACTGTGAAATCTAAAGGTTACTTGGAACAGAACATTCACAAAGTTAGCAAACAAAACAAAGCAAAAAAACACAACTTTTCGGCCATTCCTGAGAATATTACATCAACAAAAGCAAAGACAATAACGTGATCTGCTCTGTTGATATTTTAGGAACATATTTTTATGAAATGCCATGCTTTCCAATTCCATGGAGTTGCATTCATGCAATGGGGAAGAAGGAAAATTCCTATTAATATCACAGTACAAACTGAACCAATTAAAAAAGATCAATTTAAGTATGTACATAGTTCATTGTGCAGCTTTACCTTGCCAAAAACTGAACAAATTTCATAATATGGTACTGGCACAATGGATTTGAGTAAAATTGTTGTATGAAGGAGGTTAAATCAATGCTTTAAAAGACCTTCCATAATTATCATCCAGAGTGCCATGCATGTACCGATGTATACAGAGAGTTTATAGCTTCCTGTTAACTGTGGAAGAGAGTTTGGTTTCGCAAACACCACAATATACAGTGGGGTCTTGACTTAAGAACGGCCCGAGTTAAGAACATTTTGACTTACAAACCACTCTCATAGGAAAATATTGACTTAAAGGTTACTTGGAACAGAACATTCACAAAGTTAGCAAACAAAACAAAGCAAAAAAACACAACTTTTCGGCCATTCCTGAGAATATTACATCAACAAAAGCAAAGACAATAACGTGATCTGCTCTGTTGATATTTTAGGAACATATTTTTATGAAATGCCATGCTTTCCAATTCCATGGAGTTGCATTCATGCAATGGGGAAGAAGGAAAATTCCTATTAATATCACAGTACAAACTGAACCAATTAAAAAAGATCAATTTAAGTATGTACATAGTTCATTGTGCAGCTTTACCTTGCCAAAAACTGAACAAATTTCATAATATGGTACTGGCACAATGGATTTGAGTAAAATTGTTGTATGAAGGAGGCTAAATCAATCCTTTAAAAGACTTTCCATAATTATAATCCAGAGCACCATGCATGTACCAAATCAATACACTGTTAACTCTGGAAGAGTTTGGCTTTGCAAGCACCACAGTGTATCTTTAAAGACCTGGCCCTTAAATGAACAGCCATGAATACTGGGAAGTTCTGTATGTACAACAGGGCCTCTGAGGTTCATCATTAGAACATGCTATACCCAGTTCAAAAGTGCATGGACACAGCTAATCCATTGCACTGAATCAGTACTTTTCTGAATTGCATTTCCTGTCTTCCAAGAACAGCGCTCTTTCTCCATTAAAATACTGTACAAGAACTGTCCATCTGTTGAACACACTGCAGATTTCTGGCCTCTGGAAAGATGCATAAGTTAGTGCACTTTAAATATTTTTCCTTGTTTGTTTCAAGCGGATTTTGTTTTGGATGCTTCTGAAGTATGCCAAGCATAGAGTGAGCTGGAAATACAAGTGCATGAATGGACTTACCAAGCTAATGACTGGGGAAATTGCAGAACCCCCACCAAAAACAATGGCAACTGTGTGTCTTGTTCCCCTTGCATAACTGATCGAATTTGTCCATGATGCAGTGTCAGAGTATTCTGCATTTCCTCACTTCAGCTCCACATCATGCGCTATCAGTGGCAGATAGCAAGGATATGCAGAGCATCCTGATGCCACAGGTTTAGATTAAATTCCACTTCCATTTTATGGAGGAGGGAACCACACATGTAGCTAGCATTTTCAGCTGCTCACTAAAAAACAGGAACAGGCAAATATACAGATGCTGTTGGGCTATAACTCACATTGGAATGAGATGATATAAAGCAGCAATGTTCCTTATTAAAATGCCTATTTTTAAGCCTGTTAATATTTCAGGCCTTATTGTTGCATTTTGTTACCAGTTGTGTTGAAGACTCAACAGAAAAGTCTCCAGGCTGTTTTGATTAATCCCCAGAAGGCCATTAAAATATTAGCAAGCTGAAAAGAGCCAGGCATTTTAAAATAGTTTCATAGCATGTCAGGAGCCATTTTTTTTTTGTACACAACATCTACTTAGGGGCTCTCTAATTGTTCAATTTTGGAACAGCCCTTGTCCACAGGACCAGTAATGTTGAAGACTGAGACCTGCCATCCAACAACATCAGGAAAACCGCATCTTATCCATCTCCGTTGTCAAGTCTTCTTCAACCCTGAAGTTCTGACCAGAGGTCCTTTAGGCCATAAAATAAGGCTACTCCAAACTTCTGTCCACAAATAATTACCTCACTGGGCCTGCTTGGTGCATCAAGGCACTAGATGTCTCCTATCATTAGACCTATTCAGGCTTAGTCTACAAGGGTAGACTGTGGGTAGATGGGTGTTTATAACCTCACCTCCTCCATCATAATTTCTGTCACCCCCCTACGATGAATGGTGACAAGTCTGAATAGGAGAAATCTGTCTTTTCTAAGGTCCCCATTCATACAGAACACCACTATGAATAGCTGAACTCTCCAACTATGGACCTGTTGCTTTTCAAATGTAAGAGAGACAAAATCACAAACAATGAGAGCTGGACTTCTCTCATGGTGGTGAAATTCTCCTGCACAATTGTAAAAGAGTGCATGGGGTAGTATATAAGCACACTTTTCTTTAGAGGGTATAGCATTCCAGTGTCTTGCTGTTGTATATAGGATTTGGATTCCTTAATAGGATTTTTGGATCATGTTAAGAAGCTAGCTGGATAGCTGAGTGATTTAGGCATCTGCCTACAGATCCAGAGGTTGGGAATTTAACTCCACACCCTAGCTCCTGGGGAGAAAGCCAGCCTGGGTTGTCTTGGGCAAGCTACACAGCCCCAGAGTTTCCTCTACATCAGTGGTCCCCAACTTTGGGCCTCCAAATGTTCTTGGACTTCAACTCCCAGAAATCCTGGCCAGCAGAGGTGGTAGTGAAGGCTTCTGGGAATTGCAGTCCAAGAACATCTGGGGGCCCAAGGTTGGGGACCATTGCTCTAGAAGAAGGGAATGGTAAACCACTTAAAAATCCTGGAAAGGGTCACTGTAAGTCAGAATTGACTTGACAGCACACAATTATTATTGTATATAAGAAATTTAAGGAGTGGTTTAACACTGCCACCAACACCTATGAGTTTCCATGGCTGAGTGGGACCAGTGTCTCCCGAGTCCTAATCCAACACACTGACCAACAGACAACATTGGCTCTCTTTTGCGTGTGACTAGTTTGGTAACAAAGCAGGCTTTTAACTGTGTTCTTGTTCAATTGTTGTGCAAAATCTACAGCAGACGCCACTTCTAGATTTACGCTTACCTTCGCGGAGGGCATCAATATCTGGAAATCCTCTCATAACCCTACAATGGTGAAGAGTCCATGCAAAGGAGAAAGCTTTCAGTCCTCCTAAGGCGATGGGAATATGTGCAGACATCTTTGACTTTGCACAGATAAAGCTTGCTGGGTCATTCTTACACCTGCTAAGGCTCTGGATGGAAAAACAAAATGTTTGCAAATTGCACAGCAGAAATTGTAAATTAGCAGCTAAATGGGGCAAAAGGGTTGACCTAATTCTCTTTACTTGCTCATTCCGTACAGCAAGAAATCCATCATACACAAACTAAATAAAGAATCTGTATGCTCTTAAACGTCCTTCTGGGTGAGAAAACAAACAATTCCTTAACGGAAGAACAGTGGAAGACACTTCACCGTACAGAAAATATTTTTTGCTGTTATTATATAAAATATTATGAAACAGGTGGCGTGATCACTCAAGGCACACAAACAACCTGGCCATGAATTTTGAACTGATTATGTCACTCTTACAACACACTTTGAAGCAACTAGTAGTAAACCAGTGTTTTCACAACACAACTATAGTGCATATCTCTTCACATGCTGCTGTCATGAGAAGACTGCCTTCTGCCATTGCTCTGTATGCATCATCCTGGGGAATTAAATCTCAGAAACTTTGGGCAATTTGGCTTGATCTTAGGCATGTTGTAGAGTCACAGGTTAGCCCTCACCTGGCATCTGTTATCCACTATGAATGGTGGCTACTTAGCAAGGCCTCCTGCAGGTCACAGTCTTTATGTGACTGCTGCATTTATTTTGAATGCTGAATCCTCTTCGTCAACTCACCATGCTCTCCTTTACATCCCTCTGTCTGATTAGCTAGGTGGCATAAATCTTCAAAGGCATCTACACTTCCCTATGCCACATAGTTTCCACCATCAAACTGACAAAAATTTTTTTAAAAAAAGCCCTTCTCCTCCATTGATCTCCTCCACAGTAAGAGTTCTGAAACATTCCACTTGGGAGTCTATCCAATAAAGAAAATAACTCCTCTTCAAGTATTTGTGAATACACAGGTATCAGAAATAGCTTTAGGGGGGCCTTTGTCTATGGCCGACAAGTGGCCCAGAAATGCTAATAAATAAATAAATATACATTGCAAGCCTATTCTGTAATTGGGAAACACCACTACAAGGTGAGGAACTCCCAAGTATTGAATATGAAAGTGCTAGTATGTGCTGAAATAAAAGAATGAATGATGAGAAAATTAAGTAAGTCTGTAAACCAACATGGTCTCCTGACACAGCGACATCTGCTTCAACACATAGGATCACATTTCTAAGCTATAAAAACTGCAAAAATTTACCCTGGCAGAAAAAGGATTATTGTTATTTACCTAGTCACTGCAGATGTTTTCTGAATAAATAAATAAACAAACAAAAACACATAGACAGACAGCTCAGAATCACGTGGGCTCTAAACATGTCTTGATGTTCTACTGCAGGGAATCCTGGAAAAGCAAAGTTTTTCTTGGGCAGGGCCTTGGATTGGCAGTCAATGACAGGATGAGCTCCGTAGCTTTCCATACTATGTTTTCTGGGAAGGGTGAATCAGGATTTTGCTGCCAATCACAACATGGAAAGGGGGAAGGCCAGTACAGAGTAGGCATCTGCATAAGTAGCCAGTGTTTGGGAATGTTATTATTATTTTTTTCAGGCAACAACTTTCAGAAGCAACTGAAGTAACTTCTCTAAGCTCTGCATCTACCCGCATCCTCCTCTCTTTCTGTACCACACTCAAAAGGACCTTCCACTCACTAGTGCAATGAACCTAACAATCCCTGCTGGAAAGTTACTTAAATTTACAAGACGCCGGCTTTGCACCACTTGCTTTTAGTTTCTTGTCCCCTGAAGCTTTTTTGGATGGAAGGTAACTGTTTGCATTGCCATTCTTCTTGGGATTTGTGCCTGTGTGGGCTGGAAGTCCCTTGAGAGGAACAGCTGGACTGTGGAAAGCAGAAGGCTGCTTGAGCGGTCTGATGTTGCCTGCTCCCTGGATCATAGAGCTGGTGTCAGAGGAATAGCGGCTGACAGGCTGCTGCTTGATGGGAGGCCGCTGTTTTGCCTCATTCCTTCCTTCACCCAAACGCCTCTGATGAGGTGATGGGCCACTCTTTGCCCGAGCTGCTTTTAGCTTTCCCTCACAAGGAACAATCTGGCTACCTCTTTCCCTCTGCAACTCTTGTCGGGAGCCTGAATGGCCAGTGAGGAGTCTTGGAAAGCTTTCATGGGGAGTCGGCGGTTTGTTCAGTAAAGGACTGTGCAACAATTTGCTTTTGCCAGGACTTTTTAAGGTCCGAAGGCCAACGGGAGCTGTCTGAGGCCTACCTCTGGCTGCCTTCCCTTTCTCGGCTTCTATGGTTTGTAACTGCAGCCACTCCAGTTCCAAAAGCCGGTCGATGTACTTCTCAAGAAATCCGACCGGCTGAGCTTCCGGTTCCGATTTACACTCTGTGTTGACAAACACTGCGAGCCCTTTTAAGTCCCAAGTGTTGTACGGGGGTGGGAGGAAGTCAGGGTAATAATAATCAGGTTGCTTAAATTTAGCATCAAAGAGGTGTTCAAAATAAAGGGGGTCAATCTCTTCCGCTCTGAGGTTCAGCTCTGGCGGAGTGCAAGGCGAAGGGGGAATGGGAATTCTCTCCGAATCAGAAAGGTCGCTGGCACTGTCTTCATCAGAATCTTCTTTCATGATTCGCACAGAGGCAAAGTCCAGAAACATGGCGTCAGCAGACGCGCCTTCACATACAGGGCTACAAGGCCCTGATTCCGCTGGGTGATCTTCAGAGTCTCTCCCTAAATGCTCCTTTTGTTTGCAATAAAAGCTCTGAATTAGCACATCTTCCCCTTTGCTGGAATTACTCCATGATGGATACTTAAAGACAGACAGATTTTTGCTATCTTCAGTCTCATAAGGCTTTCTCGGCACAAGCTCCTTTTTTAACCTTGGTGCTGCTCTGAGCGAGGACGTGCAAACGTTGGTTGTTCTAGATAGAAAAAGAAATATTATTTACTATTCCTTTATTTCAACCACAGGTCATCACAAATGGATAACTGCAAATGAAACACATTGAATCACAGAATTGTGGAGCTGCAAGGAACCCCAAAGGTCACAGATCCTGCTGATGCAGGAAATCCAAGGCTGAAACATCTCTGGCCAACATTTATTTAAAAACCTTCAATGATGGAGAAATCTATCACCGTCTGTAGTGGTCCTTCTCTTTGAAACAGCTTTTATGGTCAGGGAATTCTTCCTAATATTTAGGAAGCAGAAAGCTAAATCCTAAAAGATTTTGTACAACGCCTTCGTAACACTTCACACCACGTGGTCTTCATTAGAGGAGACCACAATGATGTCTACAAAACTATCACTATGTTTTTAGCTGTGACTGCAAAGAATAATAGCTCAGAGGTATCATTCTGAAACATCTCTATGCTCCAGTAGCATGAGAACATGACAGGAAATGATATTTCTAAAATTTCTACACAACAAGCAGCACAAAATTCAACTAAACATATTTTCTGCTATATTTTGTCCACTTCAGCATCTTTGCCCTCTAATGGAGCTCAGGGCACTGTCTCATAAAAGCTTTTATCACATGCGGATATTAATGATCTACCTGGATAAAGTATCATTACATGAGCATTGTGTAGTCTGATCGATTGCTATATTTGACAGGCCATCTTTACTGAAAATTCAGTAACACCACAAACTTATATTCAAGTCAACGTTCCACTCAATTTGGGAGTGGGGGAGTTATTCTGAGGTAAGTGGGTTTACAATTTCTTCCTTAACGCCCCCCCCTTTAGGCAACTTCCAAATTAAGCATGTTCAATAATCTCTGCTGAGATATGACAATTCAATGGATTTGCCCAGTGATAGCAGTAACTGTGACATGAATAAATCTCATTGACTGTGTATTGTTTTCACAGTCATGTTTTGGATTATTCTGAAATGACTGTAATTATCTGGGTAGATAAGGAGAATGGTAGTTATGCTGTGGGCTATTATAAAGCTCAGGTACTTCTGCCGACAATTTCTAAAGTAAAGCACCATAATCTAACCATGAGGTCTCAAGCATGTTTACACAGCTTAATGAGCTTCTTCAAAATCTTTTAAATCGATATGAATACTTGGAACCGCAGCCATGCAATGTCACTGTGTATCAAGGCAGAACAGATTTGGGCAACTCTGGCAGACCTCGATCACAGTTTTGTCCTGCTCTGATCCTCCAGGGGCCCCCACAGCTGACCAAAAATACAAAATAAACCGTTCCCCCCCCCAAAAAAAAAACTGGATTGGAAGCAGTTGAATGAAAACCCATTTCCAGTTTTGAAAAACAGGCATTTTTGGTGCAGAAGGCAACTTACTGAAAAAGGTTGATTGCAACTCCTAGAACCATAATGTACCTTTTAAAAATTGATTTATTGATTTAATATAGCAAGGATTTTTTTTTGCAGGGTGAATATGAGGAATATGAGTTCTCCCTGCCCCCCCCCAAAAAAAGTCATTTTGATGATGCCACATTCAGCAGCATCAAGATACACTTTGTTCCTGTTTTAAAGCAATTCAAGAAAACTGTTTCATGGCTCTTGAATATTAAGCTCAACAACTTTGCAGCCAGCTGAGTTTGAACAGACTAAAGTATATTAACAATACAGCTAATGGTTTAAGTCATTCTATAAATAATGTGGTGAATGGATTTCAGTACAGTAACACAAGTAAAGGGCTGTGTTTATACTGAAGTGAAAATAAGAAGAGAAGGAAAGCAGATGTACACTTCTGGGTCTTGGAAAAATGCCATGCTTAAATCAGTGCCATTCAGTTCTTTTCATCTGGGTTGTATGTTCCCAATTGTGAGCGCTCCCTTTCCCATCTTCCCTCTCTGAAGATGCGTTCCAAAATGCTTGCTCTTTTTTGAACCTTGTCTAATTAGCCCACACAGAGCCGAATTTTTAGCAGGCATCTGGCAACTTTTCATTATATGATGAAACGAAATGCAAAAGAGCCACGATGGCCGTTTCAAGTAAGGGCGCAGCTCCAGTGCTGCTTTCATTGCGCTGCACTGCTCAAACAGCGTCACATCCCAAGTTCAAAGCTGTAATAACACACATAAAGGGGGCTATCTTGGTTTAGCAACCTACATTCTCTAGCCATAAGCTTTAAATATTGTAGTTTAATGTTGTAAGCTGCCTTGAGTCCTTTTTAAGGAGAAAGGCAGGGTAAAAATATTTTAAATAAATAAATGACCTTTTTTTGCCATTCCTCCATATTTCATAGGCTCACAGAACTGAAGAGCTGGAAGGGGGTCCAAAAGGATCACTGAATCCAATCTTCTGCCAAAGCAAGAAATCCACAGTTAACTAAAATATCCTTGACAGCTAGACATCCAACCTTTATTTAAAAACCACTGATGTAGGAGAGTCCACCACTACCATGAAGCTGTTCCTAATAATATCTCTATTCTTATCTCATTTGGCTTCTATCCTCTGGGGCTGAACAAAATAAATTTGCTCCTTGTTCCACACGGCAGTCCTTTAACTATTTGAAGATGGCAACCATATCACCTCTTAGTCTTCTCTTTTCCAGGCTAAACATACCAGTCCCTTCAACTGTTGGGATTCTAGACCTTTTATTTACACAGACAAATTCCAATTTATTACCCTTCTTAAACTGTGAGGCCCAGAACTGGACACATATTGCAGGCATGGCCCAACCTAAGCAGATTAGAGTAATGCTATTACTTCCCTTGATGTAGACACTATACCTCTGTTGATGCAGCCTTGTATGAGCATCTGCTGTCTTTACTGCAGCATCACATCTGTGGTCTACTAAGATCCATAGGCCTTTTTCATATGATCATGAGTGAGTCAAGAGTTGATGTATCCTCTCTAACTCTATAAAGGAGAAAGGCAGGGTGCCTCGCTTAGCGATGTTAATCCGTGCAGCAAAAATCGCTGCTAACCGAAAACATTGCTAAGCGATCTTAAAAAGCCCATAGAAATGCATTAAAACCTGTTTAATGCATTCCTATGGGCTTAAAACTCACCTTAAAGCGTAGATCCTCCATACGGCAGACATTTTCGCTGCCTCTTAATTGAGGAATCCGTCCCTAAACACAGTGTGCGGCCATTTGTTTTTACCCGGTGGCCATTTTGGAACCACTGAACAGCTGTTAAAAATCATCGCTTTGCGATTATCGGTAAGCGAAATAGGGTACCGATCATCGCAAAGCGATTTTTCCCCATAGGAAACATCGCAAAGCAATCGCAAATGCAATCGCAAAAACTTCGTCGCTATGCGGTTTTGTTGTGGAACATCGCAAAGCGATCGCAAAAACTTCGTTGGTATGCGGTTTTGTCGCTAAACGGAGCGCCCGTTAAGCCAGGCACAACTGTAATGTATTTGCATAATCTTTCTTCTCAAATAGGATCCCACAGTTGTTGGATATGGGCTGAAATTTTATGGAGGTTCTTTGGATTTCTGTAGATTACCTAATATAATTATTTTGTCTCCCCTGGCAGATACCACCAGAAAATGCTGCAATTTTAAAACTCATATACTAGAAGTGTCAATAAATTATTCCTATTACTGTATTAAGGACAGCAAGCAAGAGTGCACTTTTGGATTGAGGGCGGTGTCACATAGTTAAACTGAATCTGCATGGAAGTTTATATCCAATATAACCTCACTGCTGTTAGTCAGTTTTCGTTCCCTCTGACAGTGGAACTTTCTCAGAGATGCATGCCTTAGTAATTAGACTGGCCTGTGGAGTTGCATTTAGTTTCCACGGATCAAACATTAAGCAAAGCACAGTGGCAAGTAGAACACATAGCCATGACAAAGAGGCATCTTTTACCACTTGAGGGAGCACTTCCGCAAAAAATAACTAAAAAAATGCAGAGGTGGATTATGCAAACTGGATTATATCATCCAATTTGACTTCCAGATGGAAACAGATGGATGTCATTTGCATCATATGAGCATGAATGAAGCGGAATGGCAGCCAGGGGGTCATAACCTAAGCAAACTGCCCAAGAAACATGAATTCTGGTAATATTTAAAATAACCCTTCCATGGCCCCCACCTAGAAATTTCTCATAACCTGATCATGCTAATCTTTCTGTTTCTTCTAACTTATAAAGAGACTTGTAGTACAGTAGTTAAAGTGCAATGCTGCAACTAAAACTTTGCTAACAACCTGGTCTCAGTCTAGGTAACCAACTTAAGGTTCACTCAGCTTCCATCCTTCCAAGGTTGTTAAATTGAATACACAGGTCGTGTGTGTGTGTGTGTGTGTGTGTGTATGTGTAATGTGTAGAATGCATAATTAAACAGTAAACTGCCCAGATAGTGCTTTAAGACAGCAGTCCCCAACCTTTTTGGAACCACGGACTGGTTGGGGGGGTGGGCTCCGTGCGCAGGGGCACCCTCACGCTCGCAGGTGGGCGTGTCACATTTGTGGATGGCCATGTCAAGCTCGTGCGCATGCATGTGAGTGCGACACCCCCGCAAGTGCGACATGTCTGCCCTGTGAGTGTGACATTTTTGGAACCACGGACCGGTTGGGGGGGTGGTCTCCGTGCGCGGGGGCACCCCCACACTCGCAGGTAGGCGTGTCACATTCGTGGATGGCCATGTCATGCTCGTGCGCATGTGCAACACAAACAACGTGCATGCACATGAGCATGACACCCCCACAAGTGCGACATGTCTGCCCCTTGAGCGTGACACGCCCACCGTGCGTCTGTGCGTGCGAGATCTGTCTACACAGCCCAGTCCTGGGAAGGTCACGGACCGGCACCGGGCTGTGGACAGCGGGTTGGGGATGCCTGCTTTAAGACACTTTGCTCTTTATGTCTTTCTCCATTCTTGCCAGCAACAAATTTATACGCATCATGCTCTTCAACAACTGCAACAATACGCAGGAGAATGTTACCTGTTTGGCTGCTGTCCTTCATAAAGTTGTTTTTTTCCTTTGTAGTGCATATTTGTTGGTCTGTTTTCTGTGGCCTGACAGGAACTCTACGAGACAGGAATTAATGTGCAATTATAATTAAGTAAATGAGCAGAAAAACATGCATGCAAATAGTTTGCATTCAACAACAATGTAAACAACTTCACCTTTTCGACAGGAATGCAAACATTTTTCCCTATTTTGCTGGGAGGTGGTTTTACACAGGGTGGGGACTTCTTTAGTTCCTTGGCACCCGGATGGTTTTTTAGTTCCTTGGCACGGGGAAGATTTTTTAGTTCTTTGGCTCCTGCATGGTTCCTTTCGCCACTGGAACTAGTATGAATTAAAAAGAAAGAAAGAAATATTTTCAAATATACATTTGTTTAAGAAAGGCATTCACACAATGAGTTCTTTATCTCAATTGGATGAGCTTACACACTCACTGCTTGCAAACATTGTTAGCTAAGCTTGGGATTTCTGTAATTCTTCCACAGTTCTCATTCTTAGAAATTGTGCTCTTAAGAGATTAACAAGACATTTAAAATTTCCATGAGTTGTAATCTATTTCTGTATCACTCATCAAGTGTGCGGAGGACCCATGGAACAACTGCAGAGACTTAAACTTCTAGTTCCTAATATATATTTAGAAAACCTATCTTTAAAAAAAAACAGGGAGAGAGGGAGGAAAGATGGTTGAAGCAGCCATATTCTGAAATTCAAGAATCTAGACCTCAAAATTTCTATTTTGACCGGCAGAAACATGTGTCTGCCTTGAGATCACTTGAAAAAGATCTGCCTGGGGCTGGTGCAAGTCAAGAGTTGCTGGGTTTTCAGAAGTTGAAAAGTGGTGATGGCTGCCATGTCTTGGGCAACCTGGGAACTACAGCTCAAACATAATTTGGTTACCACTTGTGTGTAGGCATCCTTCAGTCTCGAGAGACTATGGTAACGTGCTCTGTATGGAGGACTTGGAACAGTGTCTAGTGTGGCTGAGAAGGCCAATTCGAGAGTGACAATCCCTTCCACACTGAAGACAAATACAATCTGTCCCCTGTCCAGCTCCCTGGTTTTGCTGCTTTCGGGACTGCCTCTTTGCCACGGCCTGCTAGACAAGGGTCTCTTCAAATTGGGAGAGGCCACAATGTACCGCCTGCCTCTAGCCTGAACGCTCAGATGTCAAGGTTTCCCATCTATTGAGGTCCATTCCTAAGGCCCTCAGATCCAGCTTGCAGATATCTGAAGATTACCACTTAGGGCAAAACTATATAATACAGAAAACACAACTTTAGAAGTTGAAATCATACAAGGCACCAGAAGCAGAACCCCAAATCCAACGTCATGCCCTATTCACTCTCCTGGCCCTTCTTATCCATCTTCTGCCCTTGTCTGTTGCATCTCACTGTACAAGTCCTCATAAGACGTTCTTAGGGGGAATGTCTTCTCTTCGTCCCACTACTTTTACTAGTACATCTGTTCTCGATTATTCCAGAATGTAGGACACATAGTAATGGGCTCAAGCTACAGGAAGCCAAATTTAGGATGAACATCAGGAAAAAACGTCTTAGCTGTAAGAGCAGTACGACAATGGGATGTGTTGAGTGCTCCAATGCTGAAGGCATTCAAGAGAAACTTCGACAACCATCTGTCAGATCTCCTTTGACTTGGATCCCTGCATTGAGTAGGGAGTTGGATTCAAAGGCCTTGTAGAACCCTTCCAACTCCACGAGTCTATGGCACCTGAGAGAGGACTTTTTCTGCATCTACTCCAAGATTATGGAACTCTTTTCTTTGGGAGGTGCAGTTGGCCCCGTTCCCCTTTCCTTCCACTAGCAATAGAAAATGACTTCTTTAAGGGAGGCTTTTGGGGAGCCAGCAGGCATTTCAGATTGGGAAGTCTTTTAAAGTTTGATTTATATTTTTTAAATATTTGTATATTATAGTTTTAAATTTTAAATGGTGTGTTTTAAAATAATTGTGGATTTTAAACATTTTTGTATATAACCTCGGGTCTTCAGTAAACAAAGTCTGACTTGTCTCCAGTTTGTCAAGCCACAACTGACTCATGATGACCTTAATAGAATTTTCAAGGTATGTGAAATATTTAAGGAACAGGTTCACCAGTACCAGTGTCCTTTTTGGTCAAGAATCCAAGCAAACTGAGGTTAAAGACCTATATTTCTGACAACCAGATGGCTTCCCTGCCCCAGCGCCTACCTCCAGGCTTCTGACTCACACCCTCATATGCCACCACCATATGTAGTCCCTGACAAAATTTATGCAAAATCTTCTTGTTTGCATGTGTGATCTGCTGTCAAGTCAGTTCTAACTTTGTTGACTAAGTAGGATTTTCAAGTACTGTACATTCAGGAACTGGTTTACCATCACCACCTCCCAATAAATTTCCATGGCAAAGCAGGGATTTGAACCCAGATCTCCCGAGTCATCACTTGAGACACTATCCACAGCTTCATCCTGGTTCTCACTCAAAATCTACAGACTCTCCTCCTTACTGTTTCTCCTGATTTACTGTAATAAGCTGCATAAAGCTCATTCTCAGTGAGGCAGCACTGTTAGTCTGTTACAGCCTGCATAGCAAAGTTAAAAATAAAATAATTGTGACATCTTAAAGACTAACAAATTCATTTGAGTTTCATGGATTACAGTCTTCTTCCTCAAACACAGCATTTCTGAGGAAGTGGATTGTAATCCATGAAAGTCCACAGCGTTAATAATCTGTTAGTCTTTAAGATGCCGGAATTCTTTTGCTTGTTTTTGTGACACATAAATCTGCAGGTGTATGTGTGTAACAGGGTGAGAAGGACCTCCTAGTGATAACAACCCACTGATGGATTTCACAGCCAGGGTTTGATACTACGGTTTTTTTAAAAAAAGGAAAGGGAGGGAAGTTTTAAAGAGATATTTGTGAGAAAGAAAATGCAGCCTCCCAATATCTGTGCCCAACAAGATAATGAGTAACTGTCTGTATGTGGATATCTCCAATATCGGGAACCATGAGAGATGGAATCCACCTTGTGTATGTTCTGTGTGGGCGTGAGAAAAATAATATCTGTGCCCAACAAGATAATGAGTAAATGTCTGTATGTGGATATCTCCAATATCGGAAACCATGAGAGATGGAATCCACCTTGCGTATGTTCTGTGTGGGCCTGAGAAAAATGGTACCTTCTGGAATTTTCCACAGCAAAAGAGATGAAAACACCTGCTTTCTTATCTTCAAAATCATCATGTTTGGGAAACAGTCTGGTATCATGCTGGATAGAAGTGATTTCAGCTGTGAGGTGAAGGCTAGAAGCCACTCTTGCTCTCACAAAGCTTTGAAGAAAAATGTGTCCTGCCTGACTGTTAGCAAGGGTTGTTTGAGAGGGGAACTTTTAGGGTAAACGGGACTCAAGAACTTACTTTGGAGGTGCTTAGTTACCCTGATGGCAGGATGCTTTGCTCTACTGTTACCTCACATTGCTTTGGAAAACTGCCCTCTGCTTTTGCTCATTACCAATGCTGCCCTCTGTACTGTTCAACAAGTCTTAGAGAAGCTAGCTTTATTGTTTTAATAGGCAACCTTCTGTGCTTTCTCAAATTGGTCTTATCTTGGAAATTATCTTGTTTGTTACTTTTTGAAATACAGTAGTTTGTCTTTTTGCCTTTTACTATCTCTAACAACACATAATTTTTCCTCCTCTTAAAGATGTAGTGAGGATTTGACACTAAATTCCAACCTTAGCAGTTGTTTTTTCTATTGGGATCTTTTGTTTGTTTGTTTTTGTTTACATGTGTGCGGTGGCAGCATCCCTACCTCAGCCTTGTGGGTTGTCAAGTTCCTGGGGGGTAAGACTGAGGTGCTTGAGCTTGCCAGCCAGAACCATAGTCTCACATATGCTCAGGAAGGGTAAGAAAGCATGGCGGAGTGGCTAGAGTAACCCCAGGTATGTTCCCATCTGCTTATGGAATTTGTGTTAAGTCACAGCCAGTTCTGCTATCACACAGAGAAAAGCAGTTGCCTCAGGAGGCAGCAGGAAAAGAGTTAGCTGTGTGTCACACTCTTGCATGTCTTATGCTAGACGGCGACATCAAGTGCAGCAGAGGACATTGTCCCATCATCATTGTTCAGAACTGCTCAAGTCAGCTTTTCTACATGGAATGGAGGAGTTCTTTGTCCCCGGAAGCAAAACATTGTGGGCCAGCCCTGATTAAGATGTATGACACTGACAGCATAATAATATCCACATCACAATATGCACCCTTAAGTTGGAAGTTTCACCTGCCGGAAGCTTTAGTTTCATCCGCCACAATCCACTAGGTCAGAGGTTTTAATAAGGGAATAATCAATTACAGGAAAAGATATAGCTGCCAGCAGTTAGGGTAGCTATGAAGAATCTCTATCATGGAAGGCCCATGTTTACAGGTAGTGTGTGACTAGAGATCAGATTTTAAAAAACTGCCCTGGAAAGCCTTCATACTTGTCTCCTTACAGATGTTGAAGAAATGTCTGTCTAGCCACTATTGAACCTGTAATAATGGACCAGACTGAACTCTGTCCGGAACCTGAAACCATTCCAATGTCCTTATTTGCAATGTGTAGCAATCCTTTCAGATGATAAACCAGACACTGCTATTGACAACTTAAAAGAACACATTTTTGCTTGCTTTTCTTATGCGGTGTTTACAGTCAGGATCTGTCCCTACTCTTAGGATGAGTGATATAATAATCTCAGTTAGCAAGTACTGGAGAAGAGATGCCCGGGTCTTCTTCCTGAACCTGCCAGCCGCTCTCTTCTGTTGGTGGCACAGAGGTATTTACCTATACAGCCTATCCTGCACCCCCACAACTACCCCTAAGGCAAGTGGAGGTTGGGGGGGGGGAGGCTCTAGGAAGGAGAAGGGTGTCAGCCCCTCCACCCCTGCCCCAGTCACAAGCTGCCTTTGCTGAAGGACCTTAACATCCCTGACAAGCTTCTGTATTTGGAACAGATGGAATCAGCACTTCTTCCTTCTTAATCAAGCAGCCAAATGAATTTAAAGTGGCTGCTGGTGTACTGGATGCCACCAAAAACAAATCAGGTCAGTGTATGTGTATGGGTGCTCTGAACAGAAGCTATGAGCCTAGATTGCACAAAAGTTCATCAACTGCTTGTAAACAAACACGAACGGGGAGAAAGGCAACACAATAGCCGCGCACCTGTACACTAACAATGGGGGATCCTTTGCTGCGATAGACCAAGGAGTGCTCCCATTTCTCTCTCTTCCCCCCCCATCATGTCATAGACCTGCTTCCTGTTCCAAAAATAATCATCATTTAATATCAAATGTGTTGTCAAAATAACACTGTTTCCCACTTACTCCACGGTACAAGCATGCAATGCGCTATTGCTCTTATTGTGAAGATCATCATTATCACCTTCAGGGGCTTGGGGGTGACATACAGTATTTCCCCCCCCCATCTGCGTAACAGCAACATCTGGGCAGCCACTTGGATCGCGCTGGCCGACGACGACAACCACACGGACAAGGGTGCACACGGATGCAGAACAATTGCACGGAACAATGCACGAAATGCCTGCTCCTCTTCCGCACCACTTCCTGGCAGCAACATCTGGGCAGCCGGTGCTACAGCGCTGGCCGACGACGACAACCACACGGACAAGGGTGCACACGGATGCAGAACAATTGCACGGAACAATGCACGAAATGCCTGCTCCTCTTCCTTAAAAAGAAACTCAGGCTCTGCATGCACTCCCTATTTCCGAGCCGAGGGCGAGAGAAAGCCAAAGAAGACGCTTACGTTACCATTCTTTTTCCCTTGTGGATTTCATAAACGAGAGCTTCGCTCCGCTGGCTCTCCCCGCGCAGCAAGAGAGGGTATTCCCGAATGGCCGGTCCCATTCTAGGGGGATCGCACATTCCCCCTCCCCACCCTTCCTGTTTTTTGTATTTTACATCGGCTTAAGCCCAGCTGCAAGCGAAGCACCGGATCGCCAGCCTCCCTCGGCGACGCAGCAGCCGCAGCAAAAAACCGGAGCCCCGGCTATATACTACTGTAGCGCCTCCTCGGAGCTGCGGCAGTAAACAAACCCGGTGCATCGCTCGCCGCCCGGCCGCCCTTCGCTTAATATCCGCGCTGGATAGGTTGGCTATTCGCGTCGCAAAGCATTGTGGGGCCCCGGGGGGGGGAGAGAGGCTCAGGTCGACCTGGTTGTGCGGAAAGGAGGGCAGGTTCTCACGTCGAGACGCGACTGAGTGGCAGAGAGCCACCCCGGGGCAGATCCGTGTCGGTGTCGTCTTTCACCTCGCCCTCCCCGGCAAGTCTGAGAGGCGCGCACGGTCCCCTCCCCCTTTTAGGTTCCAAATCCTCACAACAGCCTTGTAAGGTGGGCTAATAGCGAGGCTGGAAAGATGGCTGGGTGGGCATCTGAACCCAGCTCTAAAGCCCCGACTCACCATATTCCAACATTTGAGCCACTGTGCCGGGCTGCTTCTAAATGAACACTATTTTCAGCTCCCGCTCCCCGTGGCTTTTGCTTTGAATGGCATGGGATGGGCAGATGGTTTAGGCCAGTGACGGTGAACCTTTTTGAGCCCGAGTGTCCAAACTGCAACACAAAATCAACTTTTATTTCAAAGTGCCAATGCTGCAATTAAAACCCGAATGCTGAGGTTTGAGTTTAGGGGGGGAAAAACCAACTCCTGCACTGCAAGGGTTAAATGCTTGTTGTCCCCCCCCCCATGAGCGGTATTAACAAATAAATATTTACTGGTTCTCCAATCCCCCATTGGGCTAGACCAGTAATGGTTGCCATTGCACCCCTCCGCTGGACCACTGCACCAGCAGAGGGGAGTGCCAAAATCCGGGATCGGAGGATGGGTATTTCTCAATGGCAATTTATGGCTTGTGTGCCCACAGAGAGGGCTCTATGTGCCAGCTGTGGCACACGTCCCATAGGTTCACCATTGCTGGTTTAGGCTTATAGGTCCCCACTGCAGTAGCTAAAGGCTGCGGTTTATGGGAATTGTAGTCCAAAATGGTTGTGGGGCCATTTCTAGGATACCCTTGCCCTGCCCTGCATTACATGGTGCTTTTGAAAGTCATGCTTGCTGATTGAAATCCTATAAAGACATTGGGGAGATGCTTTTCACCGAGAATGTTGAGACTACAGAACATGAATGTTACCTCTTGGGACTACGGTACAAGGGAGTAGCACACTCCAACATCAGCCAAGGGTTGTAAGCCAGTAACACCCCGAATGTTACCTCTTGGGACTACGGTACAAGCACACTCCAACATCAGCCAAGGGCTGTAAGCCAGTAACACCCTCACCCCAAAAGGGGTTATCAGACTTGGTTGCCCAAATTGCAAATTATTTTTTGTCTTGGAATTACACAGGACTTGGAAAAGGGCAGCTCTAGGCTCCAAAAAGGGGACATTTTCCCAAGCTCTAAGAGTACAGTATTGAAGGGAGGTACGATCTAGCCTCCACTGTTGGCCACAGGATTAAGGTCATTGGAGGGGCTTCCCTCTGCCTCCCAAGGAGAAAATCCAGCAAGGGTTCCGTTTGCCAAGTTTGTTTCCTAGCCTCCTTGGCAGAAATCACACTTGGCTACCACCGTGAGTGGCCATGAGGTTATCAAAGGGAGAGGAAGCACAGTTTGGCCCATGGGTGGGTGAAGTGCAGTCTTGGACCCCCATGTAGTCCTTGCATGATTTTCCCCAGCAAAAAGAACAAGTGAATGGCTGTTCCTGGAAACTGCCCCACCCTGCAATGTTGAAGCCTGCTCCATTTCCCTTCCCCCCCCCGATTGAGCTGACACAAACGTTGAACTGGCAAAGGACAATGCAGTGGTTGACATGTTGGACTTGGGTTGTAAAGACATGGAAATAAATGAATGTGTTTACTTGTACCAGGAGTACCGTATTTTCCCACATATTAAGACTATGCTTTTGTCTAAAATTTTTAGACTAAAAATTGAGGGTCATCTTATACATGTAGACTAAAGAGAAAGCAGGGATCAAAGTGATCCTGCAAGGCTTTGATCGCTGCTTTCCCCTCCACTTGCTAAGCCTTAGCAAAAGGAAAGCAGGCATCAAAGCACTGCAGGATGGCTTTGATCCTTGCTTTCCCCTCTGCTTACTAAGTCCCGTAGGGGCTTAGCAAGTGTAGTGGGAAAGGATCAAAGCAATCCCATGGCTGTATAAGGGGGAAAGAGATCAAAACGATCATGCAGTCGTGGGAGAAAGCAGGGATCAAAGTGATCTTGCAGTGCTTTGATCCCTTTCCCCCTACTCTTCTAAGTCCCACTTAGATTTCTTAATTTTGGGTTAGAAAGTGGGGGCGTCTTATACATGGAGGTGTCTTATACACGGGAAAAATACGATAGTTCTTTGGTAGAGTTAATGGGTGCCAATTGCCCACCCAAGGCCAACCTGCCCCAGACCCAGCTATGAGGACACATCACACACAGAATATAACTACTGCACCATGCTGTGCATGAGGTACCTTAGCAGAGTCTTCAGAAGTTTCAGCGCAGGACACACTGGTATTAAAGTTAGTGGCTGTGTACCCATGGGTACTGGTTGCCCCTTTATTTTCAGGCAAGACACAAAATGTTATGATATTCACTGTAAAGCCCCAAATAGCTTATGCCCAGGAGACCAGAGGGAGTGTGTCAGCCCAGAGCTTGACAGCGTTACTCTTTTGGGAGAATAATTCCAAGGATTCCCCATCCAGCATGGCCAAGGTCCATGCTGATTGGGTGATTCTAGGGGTTGCAGCCCCCAAAATTAAGGTGGCCAAGCTCTGCCTTCCCATTCCATAAAACAAGGAGGAGCAATTTTTCTTTCGGTTGCATCTGAGAAGGTGAGAGCTGGTTACAGCTTGTGGGGTTGGAATGCCTGGCTAAGATGCCCAGGGCAAGGAGTTCAGATCTCCACTTTATTTCCTAGAGGGATTGGCCAAAATTGCCTGTAACATGTGATTGATGGGGTTTATGTGCCCTGCCATCTGTTTGGCCTTGGACATGCTGCACAGCACCAGGGAAAAAAAAAGACTGATAAACCACTCCTGAAAAGGTTAAACCTAGAAAATCCTGGGAAAGTTCATGATTGAAATTGATGACACATACTCATTATAATTTATACGGATGCAACATCCAGCATATTCTTTTGAATATTGTCAAAAGTACTGTGCAGCTTCACAGGAAGGCTGTGTGAAACTCACACTTCATTGCACCGACATGAACTGCAAGACCTCCAGTCCTATTGCTCATCACTGAGTAATCAATATACAAATGACACAGAAGTACATAATATAGATTGTAGACACTGGCCATAGGTTGAAACAGCTGTGTATTTACCCAGTCATAAATAAATCTTTATGAAGTCCAGGAAAAGCTTTCCTTCAAAGGTAATAGGTTAACATTTTAGCCCTGTAAAGTTAGCCAAAGAAGAGACAAAATTTCTGAAGGCAGCTTTTTGTATTCAAGGTGGCATAAACTTGGAAGCTTCATCAACACGTAGAAAATACTAGCTTCAGTGTCCAGAGAGAGTTAGTAAGTCTCCTGTTTGAAACTCTGGAGCTATTGCCTGCCCAGGTCAACAATACAACAGTAGGATCATCACTGTGACTTGTCATAAGCCAGACATGTACACTTTTACTGTATGTTGAAAAGAATAGTTAACTTTTCAAATTAGTAGAGACAAATAGAATCTCAGGTTGATGCTGATTTTAAAAGAGGTGACATGCAAGGACGATGACCTATTTAATCTTGAAATCATACTACAGTCGGAAGGGAACCCAAGACTTATCTGGTCTAGTCTCCTGCCAACAATCCACAGCTGAAGCATCCCTGACAGATGGCCATCTAGCCTGTTTATAAATCTCCAGTGTCCACCATTTTTATTTATTTATTTATTTAATTTATTTATTCTATTTATACCCCGCCTCATTTCGACCACTCTAGGCGGCTTCTAGACAGAACCATCTTCTAAGACAGTAAATTCTGCTGGACAGTGGTAACCATCAGGCCATTCTTCCCTATTTGGTCAAAATCTACTTACTTTTAATCTGAATCCATTATGATTTTACCTTCTGGAGCAACAGGGAAAAAAACTGCTCCATCTTCCATGTGATCACCTATAAGGTATTTGATGATGGCTGTCATATCACCTCTAAATCATCTTTTTCTGGCTAAACATGTCCATGGTTTTGGAGAGATTTGTAAGCCAGCCAAATGAGCAGGGCTGAAAAAATCTTGGCCTGCTCTTGTGCTATTTACAGCATCTGAAATCCACAGGAGCCATTTTTAGTTATATTCAGACCCACATTGCTGGCGCCAGAACACTGAGCTGTTGTTAAAAGACATGGCTGGTTTCAAGTGCTCCTTAAAATATTGGCAGCCTAGGTCTGATAAACCCCTTAGTAGCATTAACACATAGGTCAGGATAACACTGTTAAACAAACCGACCAATCCTTGCAGCATCCCTTCTCTGGCAAATTGATTTGGGAAAACATTTTCCTGCAGAGTGAAATACAGAGTGGCATTTCTTCACGTAGGTAATCGCTTTTTTTAAAAAGTGTTTTCATACTACCATCCCTGCTGGTGTACATTAATTGAAAGCAATATAATTGCTTTTACAAATCTCCTGGGCTTGGGAAGGCATAATTACTGAGATCAGTTAAAGCACCCAGTATCAACAAGGAAAAGTGGTAAAGTGGGAGGGCAGCATTCATGTGAGAGAATTTGAGGGATTAATAATCTGAGCGTGCAATCCGAATCTGGTGTCTTGCTCCAAAGGAGAGGCGCAGAAAATTGCACCTTGCGCCCGTTGTACCAAAGGCCCTGAACAAGGATGTGTCTGTGGCTTTAACATTCGAGCTACAGCTGAGATCCAAAATTGTTGTTTAGTCCTTACGTTGTGTCCAGCTCTTCGTGATCCCATGGATCACAGCCCATTAGGCCCTCTTGTCTTCCACTGCCTCTGGGAGTTTCGTCAAATTCATGTTGGTAGCTTCGATGACACTCTCCAACCTTCTCGTCCTCTGTTGTCCCCTTTCTCCTCCTGCCTTCACACTTTTCCAGGGAGTCTTCTCATCAGATGGCCAAAGGATTGGAGCCTCAGCTTCAGGATCTGTCCTTCCAGTGAGCACTCAGGGTCGAGTTCCTTCAGAATGGATAGGTTTGTTCTCCTTGCAGTCCAGGGGACTCTCAAGAGTCTCCTCCAGCACCACAATTCGAAAGCATCAATTCTTCGGCAGTCAGCTTACTGCTCGGTCTTCTGCTCCTTCCCTTTCTACCCTAAACTAAGCGGAGAAGAGCAATGGGGGAATTCCCGGAATCGTCGTCCATCCAAGTAACATTTCCAAGCTTTGGCCGGAACGAAAGCAATCGAGAGTTTTGTTGCCCCGGAAAAACTGACAAAAGTTAGCATAAGCTTCCCTGCGCTTTAGCCCCATTCACGCGTCCGAAGGGTGGCCTGATGGTATGCAAATAAAGCAAACGAATAAAGTGACCGAAAGTCCCAAGAAAGCGTCGGCCGAATAAAAGCTGTCGGTGCTTAAAGTGCTACACGCTTTATTTGGATTAACCTGCAGCTGGGGTGCAACCTTAGGAACACATCCTATGCTAAATTCCCCCATTTTTGGTCTCCTTTTGACACATTCACCACGAACGTCATCTGAGCCTCTTTTTTTTTTTTGAAGCAATTATCTCCATATGCCGTTGCAGCAGAGAACGAGAAGGACTGGCCCTTGCCAAAAAATAAAATTATAATAGCCAAAAAGGGGGTGCGCCATAGGAACGCATCTGTTCTCCCCTTTGCAGGATCGCTCAAATTCCGTTTTTCTGCTTTTTTTCCCCTCCCGCTTGTAGCCTCCTCCTCCTCTTGCCCCCTAACTTGTTCCGTTCCTTTCTCCCACCGCGGATGTGGGGACGGGGGAGGGGAGGTCCGGGAGAACCTTTTTTGCAGTCCAAGCGTTCCAATGACTTTACCGGAGGCACTCCGGGCGGGAGGGCAGGGCGTCGTTGGCTTCTACTGATCCTTTAGCGCAGGCGCGGCTTCCGGCTGTTGCGCACGCGCAGAGGCTGGGCCAGGGGGTGGTGGCCGCTGCCGTTGCCTATTTGCAACGGAGATGAGGGGCGAGGCTGGGGCCATCGCGCGTCGGTAGTTTGCCCGGGCGGTCTCGCAGAGGATGTGTTGCCACGTCCCGCCGGGTTGCAGACGGCTCTGGTTTGTAAATTGTTACCGTTTCTTTGCTCAGCGGTTGATCAGGCGGGAGGCGAAGGGACGTGTCTGCCCCGGGGGGTTGTGCTCTTTCTTGCGCGCTTACAGCTGAAAATCGGCGAAGAGCAAAAAATTGCAAAAAAAGAGAGGGGGCAAAAAGAACCTGCTGAAATCCACACCTGGAGGGTGGAGGAAACAGCCCGAGCGCAGCTGGATGTGGGGCCCCGAGCCTCCAAACGCGGATTCCACTTCCTCTAACCATTGCCATAGTTTGAGTCTTCCATCTTCCACCACAGAATCTGACAGCCTAAGGGCTCCCCCCATCCAAGGAGAAGCCCTCCAAACTCCCACCAGCATCTCCGACAGCCTCGATTCCTTCTCCGCCCAGCCTGACAGCCTCCGAACGCCTCCCGGCCTGGGCAGCATTCTGGATTCCTCCAGCAGCATCCAAAGTGACAGCCTCAATTCCCTCACCAGGTGGGACTGCCAGAACCTACCACCATCCTATAGTCTCCTTTGGGACACCCGCAATCAGCAGGACAGCCTTGAGTCCCTTCCTGTCTGTAGCAACAACCTCCAGCCTGCCTTCAGCTTCTCTGATAGCCTTGAGACCTCCAGCATCCAACTGGACAGCCTCCAGTCAGTGGCCAGTTTGTGTGACAGCACTCCGGCCTCCAGCATACCGTCAGATAGTCTTGATACTCCTTGTAGCCTCTACGACAGCCTTGAAACGTCCATTGGTCAGCATCGTCTTCCTGGATCCTATAGCATTTGACTCACCTTAACCCTGACTCCTATGGCATCAGATTCCAGCTGGTCCTATCCTGTCTTCTGAACCAACGCATCCTGCATCCTACAACAGCCCCATCAGACTCGTCCTGGATGCTGGAGCATCTTAACTTAAGCTGGTCACAAATTCTGTCTAGTGTTGTCGGTCACAAAGCGTTCAGTTGCTCTAGGAAAGGTTGTAGAAGGAAACCTCCGTTTTTGTCAATCACTGCTTCCCTTCCCACCACCCGTGAGCCTTACCTGCCATGTCTCAACAGAAGTTGTCATCAAGAGTTACCATGTCTTCTCAAGGCTCTGGCCTTCAAGAGCAAACAGTGCTGAGGGCTCCAAAGAGGAGCACCAGCTACCTCTCCAATCTCTATCAGAACATGTTGCGGGATGGGGAAGCCAGGCCGGCAGAACCAAGGAAGCATCAGCCACCGCACACCACCAGCAGCTCCAATCTTCTGAACATCTCAGTTGGTGCAAAGATGGAGTACAGAAATGCCCAGAACATCACAGCTCCTACTTGTGACCCGCATCTCAGGCCCATCATGCGCCGGCGGGCTAGATCCTTGCCCAGTTCACCAGAGAGGAGGAGGAGCATGGTGGCATCATGTCGTCTTCCAGGGTGCAGTTCTGGTGGGAACCGGGTCCGGTTTGCAGATGCGTTGGGCTTGGAGCTGGCTGAAGTGAAAGTATTCCAAGCTGGGGAGGATCCCTCTATTCCTCTGCATGTTCTCTCGCGGCTGTCCATCAATTCTGACCTTTGCTGCAAACGGCTGGACCTTGAATTCACCATGCAGTGCCTGGTGCCTGATTTCCAACAGCCTGCTGACTGTGAGACCTTCCTCAGCTGCCTGAAACAGCACCAGGTGTGCCTCGAACGAGTCACCAACTCAGATCTAGGCCTGAGTGGCACTGTTAGAGTGATGAATGTAGCCTTTGAGAAGGAGGTGGCTGTGCGCTACACCTTCAACCAGTGGAGGAGTCAGCATGAAGTCATGGCCCAGTGGCACAGTCATGTCCCTGGCACAGATGGTCAGGATTCAATGGATGTCTTCGTCTTCTTCCTTCCTGTGCCCCCGTTTCTCCTCCACCTGAGCTCCGTGGTCGAGTTTGCAGTGTTGTATCGAGTCAACGGAAAAGAGTATTGGGATAACAATCAAGGGGAAAACTACAGTCTTAGATATCGGGAGCATCCACTGAAAATGCCCAGAGAATGTGAAGAAAGCTGGATCCATTTCATCTAAGCAAAACAAGGAGGCAGAGTTGCTGCTGATGTTGCCTCCTCCTCCACTGCCTTGGGCTTGCTCTGCTTCCTTTGGCATTGCTGTCCTCTTTGAGGCACCAAAGAAACCCTTCAGAATGACAAAAGATTGATCACAATAAAAGAATAACAAGGGACCTGCAAAAAAGTAATTGGGAAAAGAGGGTGCTCCTATATTATTTTATTTTTGCAAACAGGATAAAGGGTCATAACTTGAATTGATTTTCATCCCAAACCTCTATGTACATGTGTGTTGAAGTGAGTAACTAACACCAGAAAGGATACGATCAGGAGAAGTGAGCTTGTTTGGCTGTTTTTGTTTGCTCTTGCCATGGATGAGAAAGTCTCTTCATTTAACTAGGCTGGATATTTTAAAACATACAGTTTATTTTTCCCCATACTTTGGCAGTACAGTTTTGCACTTCAGTCAATGCACTTTTGCACTTTGCTTTTTGTAAATCTTTGGCAGCTCACAGGTGGCTTGCTTGTCCTGCTTTATAGTAGAGAAGAAAACGTTGCCTAGTTTGTATGCAGTAGATCAGTACTTCAGGGCCTGGGGTATAAAAAAGGAGAGTAAATACTGCAAATGGTTAAGCAGAACTATATTTTGACATTGCATTTTATAAAATAATGCCTGACAGGGTCCTTACCTATTAGTCATTCAAGACCCTAAATGCTGAAGTATTATAGGATAACTCTTTCTTGCTGAAAAAGGAAAAACTATGCAGTTTGTTTATTTGCAGGAAAAGTTATTTTTCCTACCAAGTTAGAACCAAATCAGATCTGCAGAGGGAAAAGAATACATGCAAAGTTTCTCTTTCCTTGTTTGTTTCCTTTTTTAGAATAAACTTTTGCACTTTTGTAATATACCCCTTTTGAGGATATCCAGAGTACTGTATGAGCCACCGTCACGGGTAAAACCCTGAAGTCATCTGATTAGCTTGCTGCAAATTTAGATAATGAAATGAGAGTCAACTGCAGAGATATGGCAGCTAGCATTGTTAAAGAGAACCTGTGATGAACTTTATGATAAATGATAGTCTCTGAAATGCTCAAGCAAAAGGAGGAAGAGGTCAGTGCTCCTAATGAACTACAGTGGTGTGTTCGTGTTTTCTGAAAAGCTGTGTTAGTCCGTTGCGTCAAAAACAACAAAAAGTCTTGTGATATCAGAAAAACTCTGGAGTTCTGTTTCAGTGAATTGCAGCCCAGCTGAATCTGATGGTGTGGCCTGCAGACCATTAAAAGCATACATCTTAATAAAGTATGCATGTCTTTAACTCCCATCCATCAGGGTAATTAAAAAAATAAGAACATCTTGCATTACAAGGGCTGTAATTTCTGGCCACATGAGAACGCAAGCAAAGGTTAGGGGTAGTATTGGGGTTGAATGCACATGTTTTATATTTCTTGAGGGGTCACTTCTCCCTCTCAGCATTGTGGTTGGCTGAAAAAAAATAGCATAGGACTGTTCTTTTCTCCCAGCCATTAACTTCTTTAATCTGCTCCCCTTCCCCAAACAAACCCAACTCTATATATATTGCAACTGATAAAACTGGGGGACATTATTTATTCTTCAGGTGATAATGGTGTAAAGATAATGGTGTGAGTCTAGCTCAGTGCAATTTTTTTAACAAAATGTGGCTGTTGAAGACTAAAAATGTTCCTGGGTTAAGGTTTCCCAAGACCTTTTGTAGCTGAATGTTAGGACAGTTTGATTCTGAATAGGAGTCATACTAAGGTTGCAAGATATCTTAGATTCACAAGACATGACCGGCAAAGAGGAGGTTTTAATGCTTCTCCTTTCTGAGAGCATGAATCTGCCTTATGCGTTGGAAGTTTAGCCACTTCTGCATATATTTTCCTCATATGAATGTAATGGTGAAATTAGGGATAGATTCACGTGTTCAGTTGCTGCGTTTCTTTCATTGCTGTCCCCTGATTTTAAAAAAAGCTCTGGGGGTCTGGGTGATATACATAACCTTTTTGGACCTTGGAGGGCTGTGACCCCACACCCCCTGATTTTTGTAAGCTACCTTGTGCTTTTCTGTGCCAAAAGAAAAATTGGGGGCCATGATGATTCTCAAATTTGCCTCTTAAAACATGGCAAAGTTACTCCTCTCGCCCCCCCAGAGGGAAAAGAGGGTGTTTTTTTAGTCCTTTAAAAAGTCAAAGTAAATTTTGGCTGTGTGAATATGGAGGTACCGGATGACAGGAGAGCTGGAGCCTGCCCTTGAGCCCTTGGGAGCCATATTTTGCTTACACTGAATTATTTGTATGTCTTTAAGAACAATGAGCTACTTCTGTTAACACATCGTTGAATGGTAATATGCAAACGATATGTGAAGAAGGATAGTGCATGTGAATATGGAGTATTCTGCATGCTAGGGCTATAAGGTGCTGTGATAACTTCAATGCACAGCTGCAGATGTGACTTGGTTTCCCCTGGCACTGCAGAATATTAGAAATCAAATGTAGAAGTCTAACCGTATAGTACTTGCACAGAAAAGTATGGGGAAATTTGGGTTGTTTATAACCAGTCTCTCCCATTCCCTTTCATAATTTGCTGTGGTATCTCTGCAGCAGGGCTGGGAAATCTCCTGAGGTCTCAGAAGCTCCAACTCCAGGTCCAGCAAAATTTTTGGTTAGTTTGTTTTTTAACATTGAGGATATGCAAACCTCCTAAAGAGCACAAGGGGACTTTCTGAGATCAAAATGTATATTTTTAAAAAATTAAAATATTTTGGCTATATACAAGTGCTGGTGAACTCGGAGAAGTCACATTTGGTCTGCATGGTGCCCAGCCCACCTCTGCAGGAAGTTGCCTTATACCAGGTTGGACATTGGTCTGTCTGGCTCATAGACTGGCAATGGCTCTCCAGATTTTGAGCCAGGACTTATTTCCAGAGATTCAAGATGGGACTTTTTGTATGTAAGGAGCATTCATTGGCAGTGAGTTCCTTCTTACCTCATACCTACATAACGTGGAGAAGATTGAAGCACTTGGTTTCAAGTTTCCAATGGTTTGGGGTTGCCTTGAGCCTTGAGAAGCTTGAAGGCAGATCTTTCCATGAATCCCAACTATGCAAACTCTGTGTCTCTTAGAGGCTGGAAGGGATCCCAGAAATTGAGATTAGACGCTCCTCTCATCTGTATGCTTGCTAAATGGGGCTTCTGTGTGAGATATTTTCTCAACAGCCATTCTTCAGAAAGCCTTTGCATGCTTGGCCAGCATAAGAGGAACATGGTGTGATGGAAAGATCTATTTCCCTCATTATTGACTCTGCCAAGAAATGTGCTCTCATTTTTGTTTGTCAATTAAATAATAAGCAGACTAGAAACTCTAAACAAATCTCATAGTGTTTCTCAATAGGGAAACACATATTGATTTTGGTAGAAGTCCTTTATGCTGTTAGTACTATGGGCCATCTAGGTAAGGTAAAGGTAAAGGTTCCCCTTGACATTTTTTTTAGTCCAGTCATGTCCGACGGCGCTCATCCCGCTTTTCAAGCCATAGAGCCAGCGCCTGTCCGAAGACAGTTTCCGTTGTCACGTGGCTAGCGTGAGTAGGGAATGCCGTTTTACCTTCCCACCGAGATGGTACCTATTTACCTACTCGCATTTACATGCTTTCGAACTGCTAGGTTGGCGAGGAGCTGGGACAAAGCAATGGGAGCTCACTCCGTTGGGTGGATTCGATCTTACGACTGCTGGTCTTCTGACCCTGCAGCACAGGCTTGTGCGGTTTAGCCCACAGCGCCACCACGTCCCATCCATCTGGTCTAGATGGGCCATCTAGTCGCTTCCAATTTATGACCTTAGTATGGTTTGTGAGTATCTAGTGTGGTGTAGTAGGTAGAGTGACAGACTATGTCTCAGAAGAATTTGATTTAAATCCTCACTTGACTGTGGAAACACACTGGAAAGGGTTGGTGATACTAATAAAATCACTCCTTCAACATCTCGCTTACTTTGAAAATCCTATTTGGATTGCTATAGGTTGAATGTGACTTCATGAAACATAACACATATTGTAGTTATTTTTAGGTACATGAGGTGGTTAAAAAGCAAAGTGTGTTGCTTGCACACCACCCCATAGTGCTTACAGTACTCTCTGGGCAGTTTACAATTTACCATGCAGGCTACACATTGCCCTCCCTGCAAGTGGGTCAATTTACTGACCTTGGAAGGATGGAAGGCTGAGTGAACCCCAAGATGGCTTCCTGGGATTGAACTTGAGCTTTGCCTGTAGTACTGCAGTTATATTTATTATTTATTTATTGGACTTATATACTGCCCCATAGCGCTACAAGCACTCTCCGGGCGGTTTACAATTTTTTAATTATACAGGCTACACATTGCCCCCCCCAGCAAGCTGGGTACTCATTTTACCGACCTTGGAAGGATGGAAGGCTGAGTCAACCTTGAGCCAGCTACCTGGGATTTGAACCCCAGGTCGTGAGCACAGTTTTAGCTGCAGTACAGCATTTTAACCACCATGCCGTACAAATGGTACAGAAGTGGTTTAATACTGCAGTTCCCCAGTGAGTATCCATGACTAAGCAGGAATTTGAATCCGGGTCTGCTGAAGCTTTGTCTGACACTCTATCCATTACACCACATTGGCTTTCAGAAATCCATTATGCTAATAGCAATTTTGTTCTCAGAATCTGGGTTCTTCTGTAGCCAGAAGGCCATTAGATTTGTAAAAGATGAGCATTGACAGGTGAAATACAGGGGTTTTAGAAGTATTGAATTCCTAAGGGAAAGAAAAATACCCAAACTGACCAATTGAGAATTATGACATGGACTGCAGCCTGGTGCAATGGGTTACCTTTGGAAGAAGGTTTGTCTGGCCATTATTTGCACTTCTTGCTTTTTTACAGAACATCAAAGAAAAGAAGTGTGGACAAGTATGGAAACCATAACTCAGCAGTGAAGTTGCAACTTAAGAACATACAGATTGCCTTCCTTGATCAGACCTCAGATCATCGTCCAGCATTTTGTGACCTACTAGGTTCTGTCTGCCAAAATGCCTCTGGAAGTCAAATGTCATGAGCTTGGAATGAAGGTCATGATAACCCCCTGTTGTTTGAACACCCCAGCTCTTGATGCTTGATGTATATTGTTTCTGAATATCAGAGGTCTGTCTAGTATTTGTGGACAGAGTAACTCTACTGCACTTCACAAAGGGAAGAACAGTGCCATGCCTGAAAAATTGGCAAAAAAGGATCAAGAAATAGATAAGAGGGTTGGAAGTCTTTAAAGTATTTCCCTGTGCTAAACAGGTTGATATGATGATATATATTATTATTTATTTCCCTATGCCAGAAGGGTTCTTAAGGTGATGTATGGCATTTACAGTATACCTGTAGACTTTTCCATGGAGGTCACTCCAAGAGATGGCAAACATGAGATTTTGGCATGGGAATTTGCACTCAGAATAATGATTGCCATGCTCATGTATAGAAATGTCAGTTCAGGTTGGTTCTATTAGGCAACCTAGAAACTCTACTAGTACTGTAGTCTCAACTGCCACTAAGTGGTATATTATTTCTCTGTGCACTTTCTTTGTTAAGGGATAATTACTTCTGTCTGCTCGGGTGGCAAAAGTTAATGGGTAGCACAGTTGTATGCTTTCTTGCAACAGATTATAGAAGAGGCATTTTTTCTTATTTTGCCAGGAAGGAGAAATAGGGAAAGCAAGTGGGAGCACTGAAATACTTGGTTATAGTTGCAATCTTCCTCTCAACTGCAGTGAGCTTTGTTCCACTGAACATAGCAGGAATCCCTTCCAAACAGATGGCCAGAATCCTATGGGTTAGTTATGTCAATGTGTAAATCACAGCAGCAAATTGCCACTACTTAATGAGTTAATACTTGTATGCCTCATTGCACACCAACTCATGTGATTGGCATGTAGCAAAGGAGGGATGCCAGTAGCAACTTGTTAACTAGTAGCAGTTTGCTGCACTTAACACCAGTGTACTTAATACCAGTGTAACTGCTCATTGGGATTCTGGACCATCTGTATAGGCTTGAACTGTTAATGGCTTTGAAGTATGCTTGCAAACGTTAATATTAGTTTAGAGCAATCCATAGTGTGTGTTGGAAAAACGTGGATGATGTGTACAAAAAGTTTCTGAGTAGGCCACTTCCATTTTTGTTTAATGCTTTTCCTGCTGTAAACGGAGTTCTAAAACTTTTTTGTCACCAGGAGAAAACAAAGAGATGTCAACGAAAAGCAATGAAGGCATAGTTTCTGTGATACAGGCATCTAAAACACTACTAAAAAGGGCCATCGTAGCCAATACCATGCTAACTGTATCCCTCTTAAGGGCTGAACTTAAGCCAAATGAGAGCATATGTCAGGCCTGGAGGGTTCAGACTGCATTAACACTGCCAGTGTCTGCTAAGCCAAGGTTCTGTGAAAGGTTAGGACACATATATTGCATGACTGCTGGGGAGAATGACAGGAGAAAAGCTGGCTTATGGCTGCAGTGAAAAGAATTTGCTCATGCAAAGTCCCATAATTAAGGCCTCTAATGTGTGTGTCATACTATCAGTTCCTATAACTTAGCCATGCATGGAAAATACAGTCTGTAAATCACTGTTATTAAATCATCCCTGTATAAAATGACAGTTGGAGTGAGCCATGGAAGCAAGAAATGTTTTTTTTTAAATGTCCTTTCTATTTGAAGTGTTCTTGTGATATTCACACATTAGCAACTTTTTTTCCTGGCTGTATATGACCGTTAGAAGAGGCACTTGTCTCTCTATTAAAATCCTTCTCTTCCCCAAATCAAATGGTTTCCCATGTCTGAAGAGATCAAATTCTGCATGTGTTTTGCCTTGTGGTACTTAACTTCCATGTTGCAAAGGCAATTTTTGTGGTCATTTGAGGAATATTCTCAGGGCAATCAGTAGCAGCAGACTTGTGTTGTCTTCCCTAGCCATATTGAGACCCACATTTCAGTGGAGGATTGCCATATTGAAAAGCACTTTAAAAGCAAAGCATACTGCTTATATACCGTCCCATAGTGCTTAAAACACTCTGGGTGGTTTACAAGGTAATGATGTTTAAAGGATGAAGAGTGTTATGTTTAGAAATCTTCATTCAGCCACTGGATTTCTGTTGTACATGAAAGTTCGATATTTAGTTAAGAAAGATTACATAGAAATTATTATTGAGAGGAAAATGTGAGAATTGTGTAAGATTTGTAATGCTGTATGAGACTACTTTAAACTGCTGGTTTTACATTTATAGGCACTGAGACAATTAAAAAAAAACTTTATGAAATCTAACATTTAATGGTAAGCACATCATATGTGATGCTTTGTTTTACAAACAGACAAAGTGTGTAATTTTACTAGTAATTTTGCTTTGATTAAAATGCATTTTCAGTGTTGAGTGGTATGTTATTGTACTGTATTGGATTCCTTCCTGCTTTTACAAATCAGAAACTGCAGGTGGCAGCTCATGCTTTTCAGACAGCTCTGAAGAGAATTATGGCTTGCAAGGCTGCTCAAAAATGTTCTTTTGCATTTGTGGTCTAAAATGGTTTGGGCTGCTCTATTGCTTCATAATATTGTTATTGGGCAACAGACTAAGGAAGGCTTCCTTATAGTAATGCCAGAATAATAATCATGTAATGTAAAGGGATGATTCTGACTTCTGGAAAGCCTTTCCAAGGTGTTCTACCTATAGTATAGGTGATTTACCATTCCTTTCTTTTGGGTGTGTGTGTGTGCTGGGAGCTACACTCTGTGATGAAAATATCTGGCATAACGAGCTTGTGGATCAGGTGATTGCAAGAACTAGGCTATAAATAGACTAATTGAACTGGATCCAGGATTTCCCACTTCTTATAGAGTCTGTCACTCCCTTGATCTCATATATCACTTTGTTGCACCCATCTTTTTTTTTTGCCAGGAAGGAGAAACAGAAAGCAAGTGGGGACGGCCCTATGAATGAGTAATCTACAGAAAATCCTGTCTTCAACTGCTGTGCTCTGATCGTGTAAACAAGCTTTTAGGGAGACAGTCCATCTCATATTTGATCTTCCTCTTTTCCTACTGCCTTCCACCTTTCCCAGCATTACTGTTCCACAGAATCCTGCGTCTCATGATGTGCCCAAAGTAGAACAGCCTCAGTTTCAATATTTTTGCCTCCACTTAAGAGTTCAGGCTTTATTTGATCTAGGATCCACTTTATATCGTGTAAACAAGCTTTTAGGGAGACAGTCCATCTCATATTTGATCTTCCTCTTTTCCTACTGCCTTCCACCTTTCCCAGCATTACTGTTCCACAGAATCCTGCGTCTCATGATGTGCCCAAAGTAGAACAGCCTCAGTTTCAATATTTTTGCCTCCACTTAAGAGTTCAGGCTTCATTTGATCTAGGATCCACTTTATCATGTTATCAGATAGAAACAGTTATGAACATTTTGCTTTAGGAATCTGGTCTATGAAAAAAATGTTGACATTTATTAATTGTTATCCATGGCAACAACTACCAGCTTTGGTGCTGCATCTTTTGAAGAGCTGATACTGAAATGTTTAGACAAAAACAATCTAGATTCATTCAAGCTGTCAAGCCAAATGGGTAACAGAAAAGAAAGCTGTAATTGAATAGAAGCATTGAGGAAAGAGTCCTACTTGTACATTCCGGTTATATCCCTTCTTCAACCAGTTGTTATAAAAGCTGTGGAAAATATAACACGTGTCAACCTACTGTCCTGCCGTGATGTATGGAAATGAGAGCTGGACCATAAAGAAAGCAGACCGCCGAAGAATTGATGCCTTTGAATTGTGGTGCTGGAGGAGGCTCTTGAGAGTCCCCTGGACTGCAAGGAGAACAAACCTATCAATTCTAAAGGAAATTAATCCTGAGTGCTCACTGGAAGGACAGATCCTGAAGCTGAGGCTCCTGTACTTTGGCCATCTCATGAGAAGAGAAGACTCCTTGAAAAAGACCTTGATGTTGGGAAAGTGTGACGGCAAGAGGAGAAGGGGACGACAGAAGATGAGATGGCTGGACAGTGGCTGCGAAGCAACCAACATGAATTTGACACAACTACGGGAGGCAGTGGAACATAGGAGGGCCTGGCGTGCTGTGGTCTATGGGGTCACAAAGAGTCAGACACGACTAAACGACTAGACAATGACGTCAACCTACTTTCACCAAGCTGCTATGTTTCATGTTTCATAGTGTATGGAAAAGTTGTAAGTTTATGTGAACATCAAAGTCAATCTCATCTTTTGAAACATTATTGGTGACATCATTTGAAAATTACTAGATTTGTTTGTGCTTATAAAAATTGTTAATTATTTTTAAAAAGATGAAAATTAGAAACTTTAATGATGCTGATGTTGCCCAACGTGAAGTGTTACTTGCTATCCTGAAAAAGCTTGAATTCTGTTTTCATTTAGTGCTAATGAAGAAGGTTTTTGAGATTCTAGAACCTGACGATTTGGTCTTGCAGACCCAACAGACAGGATCAAAGGGCTTTGTAAACTTTATCAAACCCGGAGTGCAAACACTTAAACAACTTCAAAATAATACTTGCCATGAAGTTTTTCAAGGAGCTACAAATCTGCAGCAGCTCAGCAACAAAGAAGAAAACCCAAAATACACAAGGCAATAAGTGAAAGCCTAAGAGGCTACATTTTAATGGAAAAGATGCAACAGCCATGGATATGAGCACATTCTTACTCTTCGAGGAACTCCTAACTCTTGCCTGCAAACCTTTCATTATTCATATCAGAAATATCACAATGCCACTAAGAGAATACCATATAAAATTAGGCAAAGCCATACTGTATATAAACACAATGAACTTGTTTGTGGGCAGTTGATATCACATTTTACAGAGTACTTGTGAGATGTGTAGAGTACACTGACATAGGTGTGAATTATGTGAATATATGACACTGAAGGATCTCAAAAGCTTCTCTGAGTAGAGATATTGTGCTTCCCAGATGTACATTCCATCCATCTATAAGAAATTGTTGACAATGTCAATGAGATCTTTGACCTTATGAACAGGGAGCATAGTGGAATTATCTGGATGCTGTGTCCCATGCTCAAAATTTGATTTACTGCTACTATAATTACCCAAAGGCTGAAAGCAGACTGTGCACACCAGTTTACAGTTGCTTGGGAAAGAAAGCTGGGATCAGAATATAAGTTTAGTCACACCAAACCAACCCTGTTGAAATACTGTTTTCTACCATTATGTCTATGGTCTCCTGAATTTCTTCCATGCCAGCATAAGAAAATGTGTGTAATTTGAGGAAAGAGGAATAGAGGCAGAACTCAGAAAAGTGATTTTTCTGGACTACAGCTTCCCAGTTTCCCCAGCTAATGTGGTCAACCAGCAAGCCCTCAGAGCAATTCTGGAAGTTCTAATTCAAAAAAGCATTTTTCCCAAATGTGAAGAGATACGATAAAGGCTTGTGGAGCAGATGTGGAATAAATCACTCAGAAGGCAATTAACTCGAATATAAACACTTTTACTGGCTCTCCAAAAGATTACAAATAAGGTGAATGTATGCCTGAACCCCAACTTTTAACACCATCTTTGTCCAGTGAAGAATTAGGAACACCTCAATAGCTCGCCTTATTTGTCCTTTTTCAGTGTTTGCCTAGCCCAGAACTCGTTAACAATGGATGATTCAGCTATTTATTTTATTTTAAATGAAGCAATGGATGAATGTATTTTGATCTGCTGGGGGAAAGCTCAGACATGACGACTATGTTGTGTGACGAAAGCTTGTGCACTCAGGGGAAGCAAATCAAATAACATAATTGTTTGGAACAGGACCACGGTAGAGAGTCAGGTGAAATCTGTAAATAGTGCGGGTGGGGGGCGGGCAAGAATCCCTCCCAAAATTTCGGTTGACAACCGTTACCCAAATTGGGACTCGGCACCTGATTGGGCAGAAAGAACAGGCGCGTGGGGACGGAGTGGGCGGGGGTCAGAGAAAAGCGAAGCGCAAGGGAAGCAAATCTGAGGAGACCGGCTTTCCTCTCGGTACCGCTGAACTCCCGCCTCCCCTCCCGGATTGCCCTAATCTGATTGGCTACCAAGCGTCTTTCGCGATCAGCGGTTGGTTTGGAAAGCCTTCGCTGGACCCCGAAGCTGATTGGTCGATGCGGGGGTGGCGGCTCTTCGTTCTCGTGTTGAGGCGAAGCGGGTTGAAATGTGAGGCGATGTGGAAATATTGTTGAAATTTCATACAGTACTCTCTTCTCCCCCACGCCCTGCGCTAGTCTTTATTGCTCTCACCGCCGAGTTTTCACAATTATCGCGTCTGTTTGGGACATAAAGCCGATTAATTGGGCTTGGGACTCTAGGGTGAGGAGAGGGTGGTGGTTTCTTCTTTTTATTTATTTTTATTTTATTTATTTATTTTATTTCTATCCCGCCTATCTGATCATATTAGACCACTCTAGGCGGCTTACAGTAAAAACAACAATGTAATTTTAAGACTTTACAGCAGAAACGTAGATAAAAAAAATAAAGAACAGAATAAGAAAAAAAAACGATTTTTCCATCGTTTTGGTGGCAATAAGGAACGATTTAGATTGCGATGTGGAAATATTGTTGAAATTTCATACTCTTTCTCCCCCCCCCAGACACCCCGCGCTAGCCTTTATCGCTCTCACCGCTGAGTTTTCACAATTATCGCGTCTGTTTGAGGCATAAAGCCGATTAATTGGGCTTCGGACTGCAGGGTGAGGAGAGCGTGGTGGTTTCTTCTTTTTCCATCCTTTTGGTGGTAATGAGGAACGATTTAGATATCCAACGAAGTTCTAGGTTGGATAATACTTTTACGGGGTGGGAGGGGCACGGTGAAGATTAAAAAGAGCCTTTGATTTCTCCAGAACTCGCTTTTTAAGGGAAATCTGGTGGAACATGTGGACCAATGTCAAAGAGACCAAAATTTTAGATCATTGCTCTTGAAACCGGACTGCTTCTCTTATAGACTGGATATGTCATTAATTTTTCTCCAGTTTTTCTTCATGATCTGAGGAAGGTTGATCATAATCCCAGAAACCCATCTTTTTTATTCCAGCAAATGTATAAATAAGCTTAATAAAATTATTGCACAACTGAGAACTTACGCTATAGAGTGATCCCATGGCTGTTTTCTGTTTCCATTAAGCAAAAACAGTTGTCCTCCCCTTTCCAAACTGCAATAAGGTTCTACTGGGCTGTGATACTATGTTGTTCTTTTCTTTTCCTTCCACTATTGAGACATTTTATTGGGATCTGTTTGGTTGTGATAGGTGAGAGTTTTAGTTCCAAGATGTTCTCATTAAAGATATATTTGAGTTGGATGCACCTGGCTGTGTTGCAGAGGGTTTTCTGTTCACAGAAGGAAACTAGATCTGGGTGGAGAATTGGTTGATATCCTTTGCTCCTTGAAGCCCCATGCATTTTTTTTCTTATTCTACTCTGGAATTGCCTCTGTTTCTTTAGAGCAGCTTTTCAGGAAGCACAGTGGCTCCTGGGGAAACGAAAATGTCTAGTGGAAGTAGAATTCTGGCTAGTACTACACAGCTGTTTCACAAGAAGATTGTAGGTGGCCTTACTTTCCCTTTCTCTCTCTGATTGCACAAGAACTTGACAGAGTGACTGTTGTATAAAATATAAAAATAGTGCTGTGTAGTGGATTTGATGCAAGGACAGGACTTGGTTCTCTCACCAGTACCTGTAATAAGCACATTATTTTATTAATCTGTTCTCCTTTCTGTTTTTTTAAAAATATATCTTATATTAATGCAAGTTTGCTTCTTTTATATATATATACAGGTTAAGCATACAAAACTACAATGCCTATTAGATGGGAAGGACAGGTATGCATCCATCTTTATTTATTTTGAACTAAAGAAATTATCAAATAGTTTAGATTTAGTGAGTTTTGTATTATTAAATTATTGCATGTAGTTCTAAGGAATTCTTCTAAAAGAAATGGTGTGTTTTGACACTTAACTGTTCTGATGCATAACCTATGCTGTGTAGAAGAAGCTGATGTTAAGACAGAATTTGGAGAAACAGAATATGCAAAGGTGCTATGCAAGGATTCATTTTATCCTCCTGTAGACCCAGTTTATATGCAGATCATATACATGGAATGCTTTAGAAAATTCAAATGAAAGAGAAATAAAATTGTATGGAAGAAACATTAATAATGTAAGATATGCAGATAACGTCATCTTACAGGCAGAAAGGAGCAATGACTTGAAATGAGTCCTTATGAAGATGAAAGAAGAAACTGAAAAAGTAGGACTGTAGTTGAACATTAAGACAAACATTATAGCTACAGAAGAATTATATAATTTTAATTTTGTCAATAACTCCTTGGGCTTTTTAAGGAGAAAGGTTGGATAACAATATTAGAAAGAAAGAAAGAAAGAAAGAAAGAAAGAAAGAAAGAAAGACGCACCGAAAAAACCAATCACTGCAAGACTCATCACAGCACAGAAACATAACCCCCCCAGCCCAAACCCACACTGCAAAACCCATCACAGCACAGAAACATAACCCCCCCAAGCCCAAACCCACACTGCAAAACCCTGTACTCACTCAGAACAGACATTTTAAAAAGCAGAAAACAGTACCAGGCAGTCCGAAGCCTCCTCCGAATGCACACTCTGTAACCGCTCGGGGAAAAGAGCTACAGAGAAGCAGCCTCTTCGCTGACCAACAGTTAGCAGTTTAAATTCCCTGCCTTTCCCTCCGCCTTTTTTCTGGTCACATCTCAAAGCTCCGATCGCAAGTCAAAGCCAAATTTTGTGGCCAGAGTTGGTTGTAACTTGAATTGGTTGCAAGTCAAGACGTTCGTAAGTTGAGGCACCACTGTATTTGTTCAAAAATTAATTGGAAACACAATATTCTTCTATTTGCACTGATAACATTCAGTAAGATAAGACTGTTCCCCAAGCTATTGCGGAAAAATTTATATTGTAAGTAAAGTTAGAAAATACTGATGTTCAGGCCGAATTCCAAAAAGGAATAGGCACTACACATATTGCAAATATATACTGGCTGAGCCAAAGAATTTCAGAAAAAGATCTGTCTGTGCTTTATAAAATGCCTCAAAGCCTTTGACTACATGGACCATGAGGAATTGTGAATTATTCTGAACAAAATGCTACTGTTAGGAAAGAATATGGAGAAACAGACAGCTTTTTCCTAGACAAAGGTTTCAGATGGATATATATTGTTTCCAGCAAGTCTTGTCTTCTCATGATGTGCTCAAAATATGACAAAGTAAGAAAGATATTTGTCTTTCTTTTGGTCTGCATGTTCAGTCTGCACAGAGAACATATCATACACAAAGATGAATTAAATTCAGATGGAGGAGAGATAAATATTGATATAAAAATCATAAATAAGGTATGTTATATCAAGGGTCCCCAACCCCCGGTCCGCAGCCTGGTGCTATTCCATGGCCTGGGCCGGACCGGGCCACTGAGATAGATCTCCCACCCACCCCGCATGCACTCCTGCCTCCCCCTTTGAGCATGTGCACAAGTGGACATGCAAGTGCCCCCACCCCTTCACAAGTGTGTGCAGGTGTCCCCCAAGCTTCCCTTCGAGCCTGTGCATGAGCGCACCTGCACTCCTTTGCAAGTGAAGGGGGGTGTCCCGCCTTCCCTAACTGGTCCATGGAGTTAAAAAGGTTGAGGACCGCTGATGTAGATGATACCATATTACTGGCAGAAAATACCAGTGACTTGAAACAACTCCAAGTGAAAGAAGAAGGTACAAAAGCAGGGCATTAAGAAAACAAAAATTATGACCGCAGAAGAACTACATAACTTTAGTGTTAACAGTGAAGAAATTGAAATTGTTAAAGAATTTGTATATTTTTGTTCAGTAGTAATTGAAATGGATACTGTAACAATAAATGAACCAGTTGAGACCCCAAAAGACAACAATGACGGAGACAAAAAATAACTTCTAGTGTAATGATGTTGCACTGAAGATCAAGATCATTTTAATTAAGATACATAGTAATCATTGTATTCTTGATTACTATGTATACATGTGAAAATGGGACAATGAAGAAAGCCAAGGGGGGATCAATTTGTTTGAAATACAGTGCTGGAGGGGAGCTTTTCTATAGACCAGTATTCTGTCTAATTTTCTGCCAGTGCTGGGTGGGGTTCTGGCCATGGCTAGAACCAAATGGGTGACAACACTGACTGGGTGCATGGTACTGATGGCCAAACAGCTTAAAGGAAATGTTGCTATGGACCAACAGAAAGACAGATAACTAAAGCTGTCATACTTTGGGCACATAATGAGAAGACAAGACTTGCTGGACAAGAAAATCATGCTATGAAAAGTTTGAAGGCAGCAGGGAAAGAGGAAGACCAAATATGAGATTGATTGACCTGATAAAGAAATTGCAGCCTTGAATTCGCAAGAATTTAGCAGTGCTGTTAATGACAGCCCTGCTAAAGGTACATGCTACTGCATGTAGCAGTCACATCATTAATAATACATTTGTTTGTTTATAGCAGTTCTAGCTGAAATTCAATATTTAATTGTCTAGAGCTAGAACTGATGGAGAAAACTGATTTGAAGGAGCAGACACATATTTGTTGTTGAAACTTTCCAAGTTTCCTCTTACATTCTAAATGTACTTGGAGAGTATGTAAAATAAAGATTAGTGGAAATAGTGCAGTGCTATGAATTCCAAAACATGTTTTATTTTCTCCAAGGATCTGTGATTTAGTAACCAGTGATTCTTACATTGTAAACATCCTGTATATACAAATACAGGATGTTTACAACGTGTATACCTAAACTTTCTATTTCCCACTAGAGTTGACACATTGAATCAGTTGTGGAATAAATCTGATTGATTCAATGTCTCTGCTCTAGTTGAGACTAGCAATTGAATTTAGGCCACAGAGCACCAGCGATATGAGTTTTTCCCCTTTGTACTTTGCTTTTCTATTGAAATAAACACTGAAACTCTTTTCAACACGAGAGCTCTGTGTACATATTGAAATATTTATGATGAAGGAAAGTTGTGTGTTGATCAACTTTAATAGATTGTAATTTACTGCATGCAAACCCACAAGTGCACATATGTGAAACAAGAGCCTTGTGGTACCTCATAGACTCACAAATGTATAATTATAGAAGCTTAAATGGACTTCACATCCTCAGTGCATCAAGTGTTATCCCCAGTTGCAAGGAATATGTACATGTGCTGGTGGAAGGGGAACTCGAAACAGAGGAGTCAGAGGTAATTGAAATCCAGAAAGTTCAATGACAATGTTCTTAGTAACCATTAAAAAAAGTATAGGATTGCAAACAGTTTCAGTTTCAGGTTAAATGACAAAATTCATTAAGAATTAAGGAGAGGCTGGTTGTGGGTGAGCACTTTCTGTATTACTGTATTTCCCTACCCCAAAATAAGCAATTGCAAACAGTTTCTCCATATCTCAACCATTTGCCATATCCAGTCTTTTTTTAAAAAAACAACAACACCAGAAACAGATGAGATTTTAAGAAAGTTCACTGTTGTTGCTCTTTGCTATGGAGGTTTTTGTCCTAGCCAGTGTAACTTATTGGGTCAAAAATGTTCCTTGTTGCACTTTTAAAATTATTGGGAGGTTAAATCCTAAATATAGTAATACAAATCAATAGCTTTTGGTCTAGATGGGCAGGGAATGAATGAATGAATGAATGAATGAATGAACGAACAAACAAACAAACAAACAAACAAACAAACAAACAAACAAACAAATGTATTTGAAAATCATGTTTATATCTTTCAAACATTAACATCAATGGTTCTTAATTTTTTTAAAGTAAACATGTCTCCCAACATAATTGTTCATTGTTTAAGCTGAACCTGCTTGATAGAGTCAGTCAGTCAGTTTACTGCTTTCTGTCGCATTGTTCCATACAAATTGCCTAAAATTCAGAAAATCCTTTGTAATTATTAGCATGTTAAATTCCCTGAAAATGAAGTATTAAACACAAGTAATTTTTATTGTATATCCCCCCCCCCGACAGCTGGAAAAATGCATAGATGATGCTACAAAAAAGCAAGATTTCCAAGGACTGGAACCATTTTTGGATAATGACATTTATGACAGTATTTCTCACAAGTGCAGCAAACAGTTTCTCAACAAAATAGACAAACTTATATGCCAGGTATTGGACAGTTGACTTATGTTTTAAGTACTGAAAAATTACATGTTCAGATAGTTTGGATTACGTGAATACCATGGACACGAAGCATTAGCTCATGGAAGTAAGGGATTTCTGTTATACATATATTAAAATTTTTTTTTTAAATTTAATTTATATCCCGCCTATCTAGTCGTGGTGGACTACTCTAGGCGGCCAAATTCTCTATAATTCCATAAGCAGCACAAAAATGGTTTGATTCTGTGCTGGTTTTTCATTGAGCTTCTAAATCTGCCTCCTTAGCTTTTAACTAACAGATATGCAGTGAATTGATGGGAAGAAAAGAGAGGGCATCCTTAGCTTTATAATGTGGCACCTCAAGCTGATTGTAGCCACAAATTTAATTTGTTTATTAATTTGCACATTTGTTCAGTCATTCAGCATCTTGAAGTACACATGTTCACCATCCCTGTAGCAAGGCATTGTTTTGTGCACCTCTGGTATCCCCTCAATCACCCCAAGAGGAACCCACCAAAAACTTAGTGAATATCCTGTTTTTGCTTTCTGTTGGCAGCTTTAAAAATAGAGGTGCATGTATGATGATAATACCACTGTGGTTTAGTAGCTAGCGTTGGACTGGACCTGTATCAGATCAAGGTTTTAATTTTCATGGAACCATGCAATTCATTGGTAACCTTGAACTAGTCACTGTCTCTCAGCCTAGCCTACCTCATGGGATCTTGTGAGAATGAAGTCAGGAATAGAAGAACTACATATACCATCTTGAGCTCATTTGAGGAAAGGAATGATTTCAATGCAATGTGTAAAAAATCTGTATTGCATTCAGTTTGATGAGTCATGTTATGAAGGCCTGAGGTAGCATTTTGTGAAGCTAAATGTGTTAGTTTTCTGATAAAGGTATATTGTAGTTTCCTCTTGACTATCTTTTTGTATGTGTATAAATACTTAATAAATACTGAAATATGGTTTACTAAAGAGTAAAATGTTCAGAATTAAGCTTTTTTTATACAGTTAAGAAGAACGATAGTTAATGGCCTTTGGGGGGGAAATCATGTAAAAAATGAGTTAGAATAAATTGCGTAATTTTTCTTCTGTACTGTATTTAAAAACAGAAAATGTAAAATTTATATTTCTAGGGATTTTTTTTCCTTTTGAGTGACTTTTGTGTAAAGATTGAACTATATCTTGGTTTCTCAATTTCAGGGACTCGATAAAGGAGAACTCAAGAATGTGTCTACCTTGTTGAACGTTCTTCAGAAACATGGCAAGAATATCAACATACTAGGTGAAGTTGGGTTTCCAGCGATGATAGAATACAGTCTTGTTCAAAAGATAAGTATATGCAATGCTAAAGTGTTTTCTGAGACTAATTGGGGTTGAACTAATAGCAGCATCTATGTTTTTAAGTGTGGGGGTTCAGATGGTAAGTCATGACTCCTCCTTTCCTCCTTAGGTTTTACTTCTTCAGAAGCAGACACAGATTCAAGTTGTAATACATTAACATTTATTGCAGGAACATAAATGAAACTGTTGGTGTCCAACTGAACATTGTCTCTCTCCTTTTCTACCAAGGGGATTGAAAAGGGGTTCCATTATACTTTAATTAACAGATTCCCATAACTAACATTCTAAGGTGCCGGTTGATCTGCTGGCTGCCAGCCTTTCACTGTTGTCCCCGTCGTTAACAGCAACAAGGGCACAGTAGTGTCTCCCATGTATTTTTCCCACCTCATTCTTTTATTGGGTTCCAAAAATTCCCAGGTTCCCAAGGCCCTCGCCTCTTCATCATCTCCTGCGCTTGCCATTATGTTCTCTCCCTCCGTTCCTGTTCTGCCATTGCCTTTTCTCAGTTTATGCCTTCACTCTCTTGATTCAGTCTTCCCCCAATATGATGGTCTCTGGGGAATGGCAGGTCTCCATCTATGGTTGATTTCTTCCCTAGGCACCATCAATCTTTCCCACTTATGGGTCCCAGGGGTTTTCCAGCCAGATCCATTCCCACCTAGGTGGCAGTGTCTTTTCTCCCCTCTGGCTCTTGCTCCCTCCTGACTCTTATCACTTCTGTCTCAATCTCTGCCACTACTCCTTTTTTCTTTTCCCTGACAACCTTCACCATTTCCTGCTCTTATTGGTCTTTTCCTCCTTCCTCTTTTCCTGCCTTTTCCAACTGCTCTCTCATCTCTCCCATCTCCCTCAGACCCTCAACAGCTCTTTCCTCCTTGGCCCCCATGAGGGAATCTGCACCAACTGTCTCTGACAGAACTGTCACTCCTGAATTTCCGTTCCTTTTTCTCTCCTCCGATTCAATGGACAGCACTCCAGCAAGAGGTTTCTCCATCTCACCTCCTTGCTCACAATAGGTGGTTTGACTTCTGGGTCATGGTTTAGATCTAGTATTCACCAGTATTACCTTCATTCATGGTATGTGTGTGAATCTGGAGTTTATATTCTTTTCGTATCATAGCCCTGAGAAGAAATGTGATACTTTTGCTTCTATTTCCAACTAAGTATAGTTTCTTGATATGCCCAGTCCAGACAAGATATGGTTAATGTTAAGTGTTTTTTAAATTGAAACAAACAAATGCTCCTGGCTTGGTAAATTATTCTAATTAATTTCAATAAACTAGTTAATACTCCCTCTCTCACACACAAAGTTAATGGTTATGAAATGATGGGAAATTATTACTAGCTGCAAAGTGGAAGTGAAAGCTTCTGATTTCATTGCATCCACACTTGGTATGGGGGCAGGAGATGTGAGTACCTACACCCAGCTCAAATCATAAGCTGTGCTTTACTGTTAGCATGCAGGTTTATTTAATTGAAATGCAGCTTGTAAATGCTGTTAATAATCGCATTCTTTTTTAAAAAAGAATGTACTCATTTAATTTTCTTTATTTACATGGTTACTTGGTTTGAAAAGGCCAAAGGATTCCTAGAAAATAACACAAATGAAAAAAATAACAAATTGACTATTCTTTTTGAAGACTTCTTTGATATCCTCATGGTAAATATAAACTTTTTTCATAGTTTGCAATTTAGCTAACTTGTACTTATTTTATAATTAAGATTATCTTTGAAACAAGTAGTTTTTTCATGTTTAAATATTTTTCTACATAAGTATATTTGAGATAAGTAAACTTCAACAGATTAAAAATCCTATCTGTTTCATTGTATGTTCATTTCATTCTATGTGCAGATGAAAGATATAAAGTTCAAAAATCTCAGTCAATAGAATGCTTAAGTGCAATATGTATTATGTTACAGTATTCCAGAGGGAATCTGAGCAGAAACATTAATTTATACTTTTCTTTCTCTGCCATCCCTCTGCCACTCTTAGAGTAGTTACTTATATTTTCATTTAGTTCATTAAGTTTTCATAGTCCTACTCCCACAACATTGTGTTAGATTTTAATGGTTAATTTTTTAGATATTCAGTAGACAATATAAAAACAAAAAAGCAAAGTGTCTATTTATATTCCACCAAATGGCACTTAAAGCACTTTGAGGATGGTTCACAAGTTACTTTTCCGTGTTATAAGACGACCCAATGTATAAGACGACCTCCCCGCTTTTCTAACCTCAAATTAGAAAATTTCCTAAACCCGGGCCTTAGCAAAAGAAAGGGAAAAGCAGGGATTAAAGGGCTCCTTTTGACTGCTGCTTTTCCTTTCCTTTTGCTAAGCCCTGTGCAGCAAAGGGCTGCGTGATAACTGAGCAACCAGCGGCGGAGGCAGCAGCAGCAGGAGGTAAAGACTGAGGCAAAGAAGCAGCCAGGCTCAGCTGCCTCTCACTGCTGCCCATTGACTACTGCCGCCACCGCCCAATTGCAAAGAGACAATCGCTGGAGGGGGCAATCTGGCGGCAGTGGCAGCAGTCAATGGGCAGCAGCGAGAGGTGGCTGAGCCTGGCTGCTTCTTTGCCTCAGTCTCCGCCTCCTGCTGCTGCCTTCCATGTATAAAACCCTCAATTTTCCCTCTAATTATTTTAGAAAAAAGTGTCATTTTATGCATGGACAAATATGGGAATTATGCAGGCTCATATTGCCCCCCCACACACAATGAGCTGTATACATATTTTATCAGCCTCAGAAGGCTGGAAGGTTGAATGAATTTTAAGCTGGCTATCTGGGATTGAACCCTGGCCCATGAGGACAGTAGTGGCTGCAGTACAGTAGTTTAACCACTGCTCCAGGAGGCACTTTTTATACAACTCATTTATATCTGCTTACACATGCCTATTCAGTAAAAGGAAGAAAGCAGAGACTTTTTTGGACATTCAGTTATCTGTATTGCATGGGGAAAATAAATCAGAAGGATATTCAGAAGATGGGAGAATTATGTAAGGTGCAAAATATTCCGCTGAGTCAACTCGGATTAACTCTTTTGAAATAAATGACAGCTGTGTGGAGCACAGGCTTTTTCCCTGGAGGTCTATGAAGTTCTGTAGGATTCTCAGGAAGAGGTTCAGGTGTCAGCTTCTCAGACCTGACATCTCCCTTATCAGCATAATGTTGTGGAAACGAATTAATTTTATAATTAAATTATATAAGTATTGGCTGAAATCTTGTGCAGTTATGCAAGCAGTATAATTTTTTAGATGTGAAATGCCATGTTAAGAAATCTCCATAGGTCTTTTCTGTCGTACCAAATTACATGATTCAGCATGCAACAGATAATATCTACGGAGATTTCTTAACTTACAACTATTTGCTTCCAAAAGCTATGCCATTTGTGCAAATGGGCAAATTTTATTTTATTTTATAATTACATTTCTATCACACTCATCTAGTGACTAGGCACTACTCTGGAATAGCAATAGAAAACAAATACCCAACTGCATGAATTAATTACAATGGTGGTATTGTTACTGGATATATATTTACCTGGATTAAATAATGCATATGGATTATACCTATGATTTTCTGTCTAAACAAGGTATGGCAGAAACAATTATTGTAAATCCTCCCTGTATACCACAAGTTTCTTGTGCTGTGTGATAGTTGCTCCTGAGAGTTGGGGAGCCCTGGGGGAAAGTAAATGTTATGGTGCAGGGGGCTGCAAAGGCTTGATGAAAACTGACAGCTCAGCCTACCATGAATAGAATTGGTTGCTAGTAGCACAAAACGACCCTGGGATACAACCCACAATCATATGAAAGTTATTAGTTATATTTTATATATAGCATGAGTTTAATGCATTTTTATTTAAATCATAGGTAGTACATGATACTAGCAGCAAAGGTATGTCTGAAAAGATTTTATGTTATTTTCAGTTCCACAGTCCTGTCTGGGCTGAGATTAATCCCTGCTGAAGTATATTCTGTACAGTACAGTAAAAAATGGCTTGAGTTATGAACTTTGAAGTAATCTATACACTTTGATAGGTCTTACATTTTTGGCTGCCCCTTCTGCACAGAATGACTTAAATGAATCACCTGGGCAAGGGGAGGGACTACTCTCCTATACAGAGCTGAGCAGTTTAAATCTCTTGAATTTAATGTTTAAACATTTGTGCTATCCATAAACTTGCGATTAAGAGACTCTTGCAGAGTGTGGGTGGCAGACAAGTCGAAAGGATAAATAAATAAATAAATCAAGCAAGCAAGCTAGTTAGCTAGCTCTAGGAATCCAACCTCTTGATTTTCATCCATTTTCTGTTGCATCTGTTTCATATGTGGGAGGTTAAGAAACCTTGTATGCTAATTCTGATTAGCTTGTCTCCACATAGACAGTAGTTACAAAACATGGACATTCTGAATTAAAGTATTTCCTGCTCACTGTTTATGTACCTAGGTAATTGTAGATGACATCAAGTAAATTTAGTTTTATGACTGCTGTTATTAAAGTTACTAGTATGTTATAATTTTTTAATCTAGGTAAAATACAAATACTAGAAAATTTTATACTGCGAACATGTGCTCTTGCTACTGATAAGAACATTAATATTTATATTCAGCAGGAGGTAAGAAATTTTGTTCTAATACTGTAGAGTTTAAAGGCAATCTAAATGCACCTGGAGTATTTTAAAAAGATGCAACTAATGCACAAGAAACTAAGTAATAAGAGACCTTTTTAACCTTGTGTATTGCAAATGCTGCCGACTGTAATGTGCTTAATATTAATTTATTTCTTTTTATTACTTTTAGGCAGTAAGAAAATTGAACACAATGCTTAATGCTATGCCTCGAGATATTAGGAAGAAAATTATTTCTACAAAGGAAATGCTGCATGTCATGTGATTATTTTATCTTTAATATGGTCACATAAACCTTACAACCTGATTGGCTATAAACCAATAAAGTATTCAATAAACCTTGATTGACAGACTGCACTTTTGAAGAGAATTAGGCATTTGGAAGGAGAATACAAAATCAGTTTGCAAATTCATGTAAAAACATTTTGTTGAGGTTAATTTAAAACAACTTAGCCAAACAAGTTTTTTTTTCATAAGAAAGCTGCTTTTAGAATAACTAAAACACCTTTGTTGGTTAGAAATTACTTAAATTGAAATTCTATGGTCCTGGGAACCATAATGTACAGTAACTAATACATGAGATGTCAGTCAGACCTAAGAAGGAGGTAGTAAATTGCCATTTTGCACACCATAAGGAATCAAAATTTAAAAAAACCCTTAAACAGTACAGATATTTGAAATACAATTTTCTGTTAAATATGGTTATGACCAGCAAATGTACAGTATGTCATGTATAGAAGGTGCATAAGATGTCGAACAAAAATAAATTAACTTTACTTGATCATTTTTGTTTTGTAGGAATGATATGGGAAAGAGAATTTTGGAAGCTGGGGGTAAGCACAGATTATATTTTTAAAGTCTTTATTCTAATAATAGCCAGAACAGTTACATTCATGTCCCATTTTAAACATGTTACAGTATATTGGTAGAAAATGTCTAATTTGTTCTCAAGGGACAAGGAGCAAAAAAATTGTTCATCCAAAAAGCATCTGTGTATAGACAAAACAACATCTGAGTTTTTCAAAAGCAGAAAAGAAATTTGTTGATTACAGTTGATAATTGTACACTGCAAGGTATTATCAGAAAAAATTCACGTTTTCGACGATAGGTAGAACAGGTAGTATGGAGAACCAAGACAGGAAAATAAAAATAAAATAAAATAAAAATAAAAATAATAAACTTAGTGTTTATTATTTTTCCCTTACCTTGTAAATATATACAGAATTTTATTTTTGGTTGTTTTCTCTTCTTTGTGATGTAAAAACATTGAATCATTGATGGGCAGAGCAATCCTGCTGTCATTGGTGGTGACAACCATGTATGGAGAAACCACCTCATCCAAAGCCCTGCCAGGCTTATGCCACCAGGACAGAAGGGAAGGAAAGAGGGTATTAAACTCTTTCTTCATCCCAGCAATTAGAAGAAGAAGAAAAATTCTGTCCCCTAAGTTTAAAAGTGGGGATAAATCTGCACCAAGACCAGAGATTATGTGGATCTGCTGCTTGGTTGGGAACATGCGTGGGGACTGGGAACCAGTTCCTGTGGACCTGCCCACAGAAGGCTATTTTACACTATTTGATATCAGAGTTCCAGTGCTGGAGATGACAATCTCCACAGCAGTTTTGAAGGGAAGGTTGCATCTTTCTTGCCATGTGTGGACCACTCACCCTTTCTGCCCACTGAAGGGGGATAGCCAGCATATCCTATGACCACTGGAAGAACATGCCACCTGCTCCAAGGCTTTAGCAAGTATTAAATTGTAAATGTGATCATGTACTCTGATATAATGAAAGGCAACAAAATGGAAGTTCATATCCTATGCAAGGTTTAGCCAATTAAAAAAAATATGTGAAGAGTTTGCCAACTGCACTCTTGTGTGGGAAGTGATAGCTTTCCATGGTATTGGGAACACCGAAGAATCAGGGTTTGTCTCCACTTTGATGCAGGGGTGTCCAGCATGCATATTTGTTTTAACTATGTTGCATAGTATCTGAATTGAGCTTTAATTTATGTTCCAAAATGGAAGAGGGGACTGCAATAAATGTGTTGAAGTATGGAAAGCTGTTCAGAATGACAGCCATGACTTTATTTGGATACTTTGTTCCATTCTTCCTCCATCTCCTCCAGCTTGCTTAATCCTTGTTGACCTGACTGATCTCAGAGTGCAAGTTGCTCCCTTAGGACTTTTCTAGAAACCTGCCACCCTCCAACAATCTGATACGTTTCTCTTGTTGTACATTTAGTGTATTATTTATTCTTGTGTCTATCATCTGTAAAGAGGATTAATGATAATATTTCTGTCTTGTGTATTACAGACTACGACCTCCAAGTTGCCATTACTGAAGCTTTATGTAGAATGACATCGGAAAAACAAAGGGGAGAACTGGCAAGCCAATGGTTTTCAATGGAGTTTATTTCTAATGCATTTAAAGGAATTAAGGATTCTGAGTTTGAAACAGTAAGTCACATTCAAATAGTATTCCTTTTAAAGCAGAAAAATCATTACAATATTTATACTGCCTTTCTCATCAATAGGACTGCAGAAAGTTTCTTAATCAAGTGAATGGCATGCTTGGAGACAAAAGAAGGTAGGGAAGTATTAATATTAGTAGAATGCAGTTCTTAAACTTTGAGAATAATAACACATAAGCTGTTTTATTTTTCGTAAGACAATTAATATGATAGAACAAAGCCGAAAACAGTATTTAGGGTAACATCTTCCAGAGGCATAGCTATGTGAGCCTGTGGCAACAAAAAAGTCTGTGAAATGCAGACACATTTATTACAACAAAATATTTCATGGTACAGCTCACTTCATCAGATGCATAAAATGTTATCCAGAACAGGGCTAGGACCTCTAGACATGGAGGTCAGAAGAAAATTAAATGCAGTACATACTGACAGGGACAGTTACATTATTAACATTAACAATTTAGAAAACCTGTCATGAAAAAACATTACGGAACTAGGAGAAAATGAGTGGAGATGAAAGGGAGAAATGAAAATATTTTCATTAAGAAAATGCTGTTTTGCAGAGTTTTTACCTATCCTTGTTTATCAGCCATCCTGGATAACTATGAAGTAAGTTTTATTCTTTTAATTCATCTCTATTACATGTTTTTGGACTATTTATATGTTTAATTAAATTTATATGGGACTAATTAATGCATTTGACAGGCTAGCAAGAAAACTGTTTGGAGGAGAAAAGAGAAGAATGGAATGTCTTGAAAAATTCCAAATTGATAGTTTTTATCCTGGTATCAGGATAGTACATGGAGACAGTTTAGACACAAAATGTCTACCATATATTTGTGTCCATATATTTATAATTTTCCTTCTTTCTTTCCTTTCCTTCCTTTTGGGGGGAATGAAATTCTTTTAGTTACAGATACCAGCAGATGATAATCTTGAAGAATTCTGGATTGATTTTAATACTGGTAGCAGAAGTATATCCTTCTATGTTGCTGCAGATGATGAAGTAGGTTGATACTTAATGTTATTAATATGTTTAATGGTAATGTTCTAGTATACAAATAGAATGAATTATAATGAGAAAATGTTATTAAATGACTTCATAGCTTGTTAGAGACAAGCTAATGTTTTAAAGATCTAAGTACATGAGGCAGGGCCTTCTTGGATGCATTCCTTAGTATGGTGAGGGGGTTTGAAAAAGTCGTGGAAGGTGAGAGTGATAATATCAGGAGGACAGACTCCATTCCAAGTCAAGACTCCTAGAAAGATCGCCGAGTGCGGAATGGTCAAAACTATATGCATACAAAGCTAACATGCAGTCATCTCTCCTAAAAGTTAATGGTCTAGCTAGAGCACTGGTTCTTAACCTTTGTTACTCAGATGTTTTTGGACTGCAACTCCCAGAAGCCTTCACCATCAGCTCTGCTGGCTGAGGTTTCTGGGAGTTGCAGTTCAAAAACACCTGAGTAACAAAGGTTAAGAACCACTGGTCTAGAGCAGTATTTCCCAACCTTGGATCCCCAGGTGTTTTTGAACTACAGCTCACAGAAATCCTGGCCAGCACAGCTAGTGGTGAAGGCCTTGAGGAGTTTTAATCCAAGAACAATTGGTCCTCCTCGACATCTCAGCAGCCTTCGATACCGTCAACCACGGTATCCTCCTGGGGAGGCTCTCTGAGTTGGGTATCGGTGGCTTGGCTCTAGCCTGGCTCCGTTCCTTCTTGGAGGACCGCCCCCAGAGAGTGCAGCTTTAGGAGAGTATTTCGGCCCCATGGAGTCTCAATTGTGGGGTTCCACAGGGGGCGATCATCTCCCCAATGCTGTTTAACATCTATATGAGGCCGCTGGGTGGGGTCATCAGAGGATGTGGAGCATCGTGCCATCAATATGCTGATGACACCCAGCTCTATATTTCCTTTTCACCAACTGCAGGTGATGCCGTCCTGTCCCTCCAGCACTGCCTGGGGGCCGTACAGCAGTGGATGCAGGAGAACGGGCTGAGGCTGAACCCGGACAAGACGGAAGTTCTGAGGGTGGGTGGCCCTGTGAATCGTGGCTTGGGAAACTCCCTCATGTTTGGGGGGGTGGCTCTGGCCGCAAAGAGTGGGGTTCACAGCCTGGGGGTACACCTGGACCCGATGCTCACCATGGAAATGCAGGTGGCATCGGTAGTCCGTACCGCCTTTTTCCACCTTTGGCGGATTGCCCGGCTGCAACCTTACCTAGACACGGGGGCGCTCACTACCTTAGTACTTGCGCTCGTAATTTCTAGATTAGACTACTGTAACGCACTCTGTGTGGGGCTTCCTTTGAAGCTGTTGCGGAAACTTCAAGTGGTGCAGAATGCGGCGGCCAGACTCTTTACTGGAGTGAGAAAATACCAACATCTCTCTCCTACTCTGGCCATGCTGCACTGGCTGCCCATCCGTTTCCGCATTGACTTCAAAGTGTTAATGCTTACATATAAAGCCCTAAACGGTTTAGGACCTCGATACTTGGCGGAACGCTTACTCCAAACTAGTTCTACCCATGTCACCCGCGCGAGCCAGGAGGTGAGGCTGAGGAGCCTGACGCTGAGGGAGGCCCGGAAAGGAAGAACTAGAAACCGGGCTTTCTCGGCGGTGGCTCCTCATCTCTGGAATAACCTACTTCTGGAGATTCGCGCTGCACCCTCGCTGGGTACTTTTAAGAACCAACTAAAAACATGGATGTATAGGCAGGCCTTCCCTTCCAGTTAATTCCTGTCCTCTTTCCTTTTTTCCTCTTTATTTGATTTATTTTTATTTTTCCCATCTTATAGAATCATTTAATTAATTAATTGTTATAAATTTTTTAATAACTTGTTATCCTTATGTTGTAAGCCGCCTAGAGTGGTCGAAATGACTAGATAGGCGGGGTATAAATACAATAAATAAATAAAAATAAATAAATAAAACATCTGGATATCCAAGATTGGGAACCACTGGTCCTAGATTAACAATTGGGTTATTAACTAATGGCAGAAAAGAAGTGATAATTCCTGTTACAAGGGAGATGGAGGATGTCTTGAAGGTTAACTACTGAGTGGTATCTGTAGTGCTAGGTGTCACTGGTTGAAGAACTTTAATGGACAGCAGCAGAAACTCTGAAACTAACTTCTGTTAGTATCATGCACAAGAAGGCAGTGATGAACCACTCCTGAATATATTGTGAATAATGTGTGCATATGCACATTAAGCAATGTAATGAATCTGTCCACAGTATTAAAGTAAGCATAAATGGCAAACTAATGTTAACATTTTCACAACAGAAATACAGGAATTTTATGTTATGAGACCAGAAATAGCCTTCCGGGAGATGTATTTTCTAATTAACAGCTTAGGCCTTTTAAGAGGAAAAATGGATTAACAAAAGCTTGGTTAGAATTCCCATCTTTTTAAAACAATTTTGTTTTAGGGTAACCAGTGGGAAACTATTTGCATTCCTGAGGAAGAAGTGGATACATACATTATTGAAGGTACTGGTATTAAAGTTATGGATTAGTGGTGGGTTATTGTTTTTTCTGTTTGTCTTTTTTGTTTTTTGGGGGTGTGTGTGTGTAAAACTAGCAGTTATTTGCAAGCACTCATACATGGTAGCAACCCCTCACAGAGCAGCCTTACTTACAATAAAGTGCCTGGGTTAAAACATGCAGTTCCTATTAGCTATTTGGTTTAAACTTTCTCTCCCTAGAACTATTACATATGAGCTTTCAGTATATCCAACAACAGAAACATTTGAATCATTTCTTATTTCAAATTGCTATTTTTAAGGGAGAAGTACAATATTCATAATTGTGTGTGTGTTTAGTCGTTTTTTTAAAAAAAAAAATGGGTGACCCCATGGACCAGAGCACGCCAGGCCCTCCTGTCTCAGTTATTTGCAAGCACTCATACATGGTAGCAACCCCTCACAGAGCAGCCTTACTTACAATAAAGTGCCTGGGTTAAAACATGCAGTTCCTATTAGCTATTTGGTTTAAACTTTCTCTCCCTAGAACTATTACATATGAGCTTTCAGTATATCCAACAACAGAAACATTTGAATCATTTCTTATTTCAAATTGCTATTTTTAAGGGAGAAGTACAATATTCATAATTAGCATTTATAAAAAGCTTTTTTTTAAAAAAAAAAAAGGCTTAAACAGTATTTAAAATTAAGGCCTTGCTTGCCCTTTTTCATTTTTTACAAAGCATGTATTCATATTTACGTTACTAATGGATGTTTCCTTTTTTAAGAAAAAGACCAAAAAAAGGTGCTAATAATACATGTAAACAATCCAATATCTGTGGATACAAAAGAAGGGGATAAAATAACATTGCATTTTGATTCTGCATTGGAAATTGCGGATGCAGTAAGCAAAGTTTATGGAGCAACTAAATGCAAAGTAAGATAAAAGTTTCTTTTCTATATTCTTCTGTTTCAATTTTTAAAAGAAATTTAATTCTTTATAGCTGTTTTCAGATGTATTATTTCTAATTATTTCTTCATATAAGAAGTTAGAAGCAAGTGTTCCAAATATAAATTCAGTAGTTTCCAGCTGTTATTGTGGAATTGCTGCAAAATAAAAAATGGTGGCTTTTACCCAGTTGCACAAAGCAAGAAAGGCACATGTACAAAAATGTGCATCTTGATGTCAAACTGTCTATAATAATACTAGGCTTTAACTATAACATCAAATACAGATTCAGAAAACTCAGCCCTTGAAAAAATTATATCTTCACTTTTTCTGATAAAGAGGCTTGACTTTGCTATATTATTTTTCAATGAGGTAGAAATATCAGAAAAAATAATTGGGATGGATTTGTCCTTCGTAATCTTTATGTTTTGTGAACAAGTTGATTGATTTCCCAAGAGATTTTGCAAACAAAATACATTTTAATCATAAAATAAGGTCTTTAAAACTGAATACAAAATTCTCCCTCTTCTCTACATTGTGCTTGACATATTTCTTACTGATACCTTTTTAGGGATTTACAAGGAAGAATGCGATGTCAGTTGCTAAAACTACAGTCCATGTAATTTTTGATGAAAGTGGATCACAGGTATGTATGTTAGTTAAGGCAGAGTAGAATAGTATAATGGCAAGTTTCAGTATAAAATTGGACTGGTACATGTTTTATAATTTGTTTGTTCCTCTAAGTCTATTTGATTTATTTATTAGTTTAAAATATTTGCGGTATATGCTGCCTTTTTCGTAAGAGGATATTGTATTTTGGCTTACAATATTAAAGGTGGCTTACAGTATTAAAAGAAACAATACTAAAAGTTAGAATAATAAATTATTACAATATTTATAAGATTTAAATACAACAATCTCTTAAAAAATCCTAGTCATTAAAAGAGTGTGTGCCTGAAGAGAAAAGTATTTGCCTTACTTCTGAATGGCAGCAAAGACAGGGCTGTGGAAGGAAGTTCCAAAGTCTGGGAGCAGTGACAGAGGGTCCTCTCCTGTGTCCTTACCAAATACACCTGTGAGGGCAGTGGGGCCAACAGATGATCTTAAAATCCAGGCAGGCTCATAAAGGGAGATACAGTCCTGTAACCAGCCCCAGTTAACAATCTGGCTACGGTGTTTTGGAACCACTAAAGTTTCCAAACACGTTCCAACATGTTACCCCACATAGAGCATGCTACAGTAGTCCAACTGGGAGTTTCTTTGTGGTCTCTGTGATTCACAATAATGGGCTTCTTCTGTGCTTGCACAGACCTCCTCAGAATCTTCCAGAGCCTGAAAAAAGCCACCCTCTCACATAGCAGGCATGCCACTACCCAACAGACTTATAACTGTCTTTCAGAGCTGAATTTGCTTTGAAATTACTATAAATCACCATTTTCTTCATTTTCAGCCTTTCTTCATTAGTCCCTTTTATTCTTCCATGAAAAAGTAAAAAATTATTATTTATTCAGAATGTGTTTTGCCCAGGGCTTTACAATAGAGCTTGCTACCCTTCCATCAATTGGGCACTTCAGGGCTACACCACCATCTCAAATGTTAGAGGAGGATATAACATTATTGCAAAATATATGCAATTCAAGGTGTTTCTCAACAGTACAAAAACAAAGGCTTCTACTCCCAGCCAAGTGGCTTATTTAAATCAAATAAATAAATAAAATAAATTTACAGTGCCAAAGAAAGACAGGGACTTGATATCAATTCTGAACTTGAGAGATGTCAACTCCTTTATAGACACACACAAAAATCAGAATGGTGATGTTTTCTGTGATAATGCCTTTACTAAAGAAGGGAGATTAGCTTGCTATGATAGACCTTAAGGACATTTATTTTCATATTTCCATCTGACCAGACCATTGTCACTTCCTACATTTTGCACTGGGAACCAGGATCTTTGAGTTCAAGAACGTCACTTTTGGTCTGTGTATAGCACCCAGGGTTTTTACCAAATTCATGACTCCTGTGGCAGCTTATCTCAGCACTTGTGGGAATCGGCATCTTCCCATATATAGATGACTGGTTGGTTGTGGCAGACTCTCAGTTTTCCATCTTCATTGCTCTAGTCTCCATCCCATTTGTTTCATCACCACCAACTCCCTGGTGAAAAAGGAGGCCAGTTTGACTCTACTTTGTGGGATGGAAAAACCTAGGAGTCATTGTGTCAACAGCCCTGGCCATTTCCCCATTCCACAGGTCAGCCAGAGCTTTGACAGAATTGCCTGGCAAAGTGACAGGAAACACCCCAAGAGCCATCAAGGTACTTGGATCCATCAATCTCCTGGGGCAGACCATCTTAATTACTTCCCCAATCCCACAGAGTTCCAGTGAGCCTAAAGCCCACCAGGTAATGAACTGTCTATGACAATGGAACCGCAGAGAGATCCTCCATGCTCACATCACTAACATCTACCCCAGTACAAAAAAGCAAGTATACAGTGTGTCCTGAAGCATAGGTGAAGCCAGATACCATTTGGGACAAATCTGTAGTCATAACAGAGGACATGAAGTCCTGAGCCACTGCTGACAAAGCTGCCGTAGCATCAATGGAAGCTTAGCATGGATGTTAAAGCTTGTTGTGCTTCCTGGTTTTACTCTTTTTTGAATAGAGACTGTGGCTTTTATTTGAAATATTTTAAGTGATATCTTTATATAGAAGGGGGATTTTGCTTCTTTCAAAACTATTGAATAGGTTCTTGTACCTGAGAGTCAGATGTCATCTTTGAATGAAGGAAGCAAACTGGATGAAAAAGGTTATGCCCTGCATCGGCATTATAAGACACAAATGGCTCTGAATCAAAAAGCTGACAAGGTGGACTTTCAAACAGTTAAATCGATAGTAAGTTTTCTATTGTCAAAAAAATAAAATAAGGGGATGTATTCCATTTTGTATGAGCAGAGGCACACATGCTAAAGCAGCGGTCCCCAACCTTTTCGGGACCTCAGACTGGCTGAGCCTCTGAGGAAGGCACCCCCCCAAGCGGGCACTTGGGTGCATGTGTGAAGGGGTGGGGGAGTGCTCACACTGCACTGGCATGCTTGCATGTGCTCAAAGCAGCTGTGGGGAGGGGGTATGCATGCGGGTGGGCGGAGGTCTGTCTACGTGGCCTGGTCCGGCTCTGACCATGGACTGGCACCAGGTTGCAGACTGGGGGTTGACAACCTCTGTGCTAAAGTATGCTTTCTTGTTTTCTTTAAAGATTACGCCAGGTAAAAGGAAAATGTCAGAGGCATCAATGATTGTGCCATCCTCTGCCAGTTTATCTATGCAGAGTACATTACCATTGGCTAATACCTGTAAGTAGGATGAGATATTTTCATGTTCTATTAGTTATTTAGTTTTATCAGAATGTGATAATTTGTCATAGAAAATGCTCTATATTATCACAAATGGGCAACACCTATCATTAAGTGTGCAATCTGGTTGTGCACCTGGACCCAACAGTCTCAATGGAGAATCAGATCTCATCCATGACCAGGTCTGCTTTTTTTAAAATCTAAAGCAGATTGCACATCTTTGCCCATATCTCGACAGGAAGTTCCTAACAATACTGGTTCATGTGCTTTAATCTTGAGGATAAACTATTGCAACACTCTCTACATGGGACAGCCCTTGAAGGTGGTTCAGAAGCTGCCGCAAGTGTAAAATACAGCACCCAGGCTGGTGTGTGGAACATCATGATGTGGTCATATATCACCTGTCCTGGTGCATTTGCACTGACTGCCTGTATGCTTCTGGACCAAGTTCAGATGTCATGTTGATATTTAAAGCCCTTAATGATTTAAGACCTTTCTACTTGTCTGAGCACCTCTCTATCAAAATATCTACCTGTACCACCTATACCTCATCTGGTGGGATGTTATGGATGGCCACCCCAAGATAGGCCCAGAAATCAACTACTCAAAATCAGGCATTCTCTGTGGTGGCCATATCATTATGGAACTCTCTTCCATTAGATATGCAGCTGACCCCTTCTCTTCCTGGCTAAGTCTGCATACTTGGAAACAAAAATATATATTATTTGATATCAGAAAGATCGATTTTATATTCTGATTATGCTGGACATAACAGAAGACCGCATACTTCTACTACACAAGTGGGCCAGCTGCTGTTTTATATACCTATTCAGAATAGGAGGTGGGGAAGGATAACTCACAAAATCCCTGAACTAGAAGAATGGTAGCTGTGCTCCTGGTTATTAAGACATAAGACATAAGACATAAGAAATTTATTTGTCATTGCGCTCACAAGTGGGTGCAACGAAATGAGGTGCTCTTCCCCAAGGTAAAACTGGACAACACTACAAAAAAAAAAGTTAAAATATACACAACTTTCACCATCCAAATATAGATACCCCGTTTTCTCTCAGCAATTAAAATTCCACCAAAAACCTATTAAGGAAGACTATCAGAAGACCCAAACAGACTGTGTTGGTGACTGTTTGCTAAACTGGATCCCAGAGATTGCTCTGATAGGGAGAGACAATAAATTCAGTTAAAAAGAACATGCCCTCATCACATTTCTTTGTATCACAAAACAATACAAAATGAAACCAGAAGCTTTAGTGACTAAAGCAGCAACAACCTCTGTACTGGTCATCCCCAGGCATTCTTACAGGTATGGTACAAGCCCATGTACAGTATTACCTATCTTCCTCTCCAGGAGTCTTGCACAACAGATACAGTCCTCCTAGGACAGTGATTTAAGACTTATTCAGAAAAGGGAAGGCACTTTTGTCAAGCAGCCAAAGAGTAGAGTTGGGATATTCGTATTCATCTCTTGGAGGAGATAAATAGAAATATTGCCACCACAAGTGGCTAGGGCGATTGGACTCTCCCCCCAAAACCAGGTCATCCATTTACCACTTGCAGCATGGCGCACCTGGCCCATCAAAATTTGTAATGTGCCAATCGCAGAGGTATCACAGCCAGGGCTACCCCTCCTCCCTGTGCTGCTCACCACTTAACAGCTGAGCACAGAGACTCATCATCCCGCCTCCTCACCAAATTGATCAGCAGCACAGGGAGGTGGGGAAGCTCCGAACAGGCTACTTCTGCAATTGGCATATCATGAACGATGATGGGGTGTGTGCACCGCGCTGTAAGCACTAAGTGGACAGCCTGGTTCTGAGGGGGGGAGGTTCAAATTGGTCTGGCCACCTGTGGTGGCAATATTCATATTCGTCTCCACCAAGAGACAAATATGAATATCCCATCTCTAGTAGTAAGTCCATTTATAATAAATTGGTGCAAATAATGCAAAGGAGTAAAAACTGTATTATAGTAAACCAAGTGTTTTATTTGCAGCAACCCCACGAAAAAGCTGGGTTAAGATGCCTCTTCAAATCATGAGCTCTGTGGAAAAGAACAGTACTTTCTCCATACGTGATAAAAGAACAATGGAGTTTAGTTTTGAATCTGCATGTTCTGCAACCAGACCTCTTGGAAAGAATAATTCTGTAGAACAGGTAGCTATGTGTACACAATTCAGATATTTAGGAGCTTAGAAAGTACACATGATCCTGATTGAAGCAGGCAAAGACTTGCCCATTTCCACATTATCTGGGTGAGAACAATACATGGTGCTGGAAAATCTGTTCTTTCCACTAGGAAGCAAGGGATAGAGGAAGGCAATTCCATGTTCCCTTTTGGACTAAAAGTAGAAATCATTGATCCTTATTTTTGATCTTAATGAATCAGTGAAAAGATAGTGGTCTTAATCCACTTCTAGCATGGAAGGTCAGGGAAGGAGAGGAAGTCCCATTATGGTGATAGATTCCCACTTGTTTGATTGAAAGAGATAAAGTCACCTTTTTTTACTGAAAAGTCATCAAACTGGAAAATATGTTGCATCTGCTATCTATAATCAATTTATGAGCTCTGAGTACTATGTATATATTTTTGACTCTATCCATGTGCATGGTGTGCTTCTTGGAATTTGTATTTAAGAATGAATGCACACCTGTATTGAAACAGTGATGACTACATTATTTGAGTAGCCACCTCCTCAATTCTGCTAGCAGAGATTATGTCAGTTCCAGCAACCTTAGCTGTTACAGTGTCTGCTGCATCAGCCTATTCCCACCAAACCTCTGTCTTGTCATGTGTTTCATTCATTATGCATTAGGCATGAATTCGAGAGCTTATAGTGTTCCTGCACCCTTTTTTAGGTACATTAGTTAACCAGTCGTAAAGAAATAATGAAAAGAACCATATTGTTCACCTGCATCTGGCATTGTAGGGATCATCCAGCGAACACACCACCTTCTGGTTGTTGTGGGTTTTCCGGGTGGTTTGGCCATGTTCTTAAGGTTTTTCTTCCTAATGTTTCACCAGTCTCTGTGGTCAGCATCTTCAGAGGACAGGAGTCAGAACTCTGTCTGTGCATCACCTTCTCTTCCTTCTGCAAATACATTTTGTTCCTAGATGTTTTGTTTTGTGGCAGTTGCAAATGTACTGAGCAGGAAGACAGTTGCCCAGCCCATAGACACATGCAGAGGTAGGATCGTTCAAGGAGAATAGAAACGAGCACCATCTTCCTGACTAAAGTGCTCAGATGTTTGAGGGAGTTCTTTTTTCTACAGACGCAGAATCTTATGTGTGTGGCTGCACAGATCATCGGGCACCCCAGTGCATGAAAACTGATTGTGTTTGTCTAATTGCTGAACAGATAGAAACCCAAAAGGTTCTTATATCATTCTTTATGCACATGCTAATCTATGCAGACTTCCTCACAAAGGAATTTCTAGCAGTTCTGCAGCAAAGATCAAATAGAGCAGTGGTTCTTAACCTTTGTTACTCAGATGCTTTTGAACTGCAACTCCCAGAAACCCTAGTCAGGACAGCTGCTGGTGAAGGCTTCTGGGAGTTGTAGTCCAAAACTCCTGAGTAACCCAAGGTTAAGAACCAGTGAAACAGAGGATGATGAAGAGAAAGAGTTTTATGTCACTGGACTTGTTCTTCCCTAGCATTTCTCTTTGTTCTCAGTGACCTTTCAGCTGTAACCATCTACAGTATTAACTGAAGCTTCATTTTCTTTTAAGGGCTGCTAAGGAAGAATAAAAAACAAAGGATATTGTGCTCTCTTCGATTATTCTCCCACATCTTTGTTTTACAGAGAATGTCTCAAATCTTGTTGCTTGGCATAGTAAACTTCACTAAAATAGACCCATTGAATCAGTGGGGATTTGATGAAACACTCTCCTTAAGTTCCATTGATTCAAGTGGACCTACTCTAATTGTGATTTATTGCACTAGAATAAGTTGCAACTAGTGTTAGCTCCATTTGAATCAGTGGAATTTACAGAAGAGCTGACTCATCAAATCCCCATTGATTCAATGAGCCTACACTTCTGTGACTTACCATGCAAAGCAACAGGATTTTGATCATTAAGTTCTGAATGATCTTTTACTGGGTTACACTATATCCATTTTATATGTTCTACACTTGAAGATTATGTCTTGTTTGAACTGTATTTGCGTAAGTGGGATGTAAATAAATCAGTATGCATGCTAACTATAGTGATAATTTCTGATTTTGTTTATATATAGAAAACTGAAGGAGTCATTAATATTGTCCATAATGAAGAAGATGTAGACACTGGTGAAAAGGAAAAGTTAAGTGAGTAGCTCAATAAATTTCACAAAACGTGCTTTAAAATTGTTTCCATTTTTGTGTATAAAAATTTGACCAAGAGTAGTACTTAATTTTTATATTTTTTTTGTTTTATTTAGATGAAGTAATAGATATTATCTTTGATTCTCGGCAAGAAGGCAGAAGTGACAAACAGTTGTAAGTACAAATAAATTAAGAGTAAACTGCAGCTACCAGTTGCAGTAAACTCTGGTACATTGTCATGATTTCAGATAAGGAGGGATTTTCCACATATATATTTAACAAAGACAGTAACAATTACTGTCTTCTATCTTGTGGTTTTATAAGCATTATCTCAACAGTGATTTTAAATACAATAATGGCAAGCCGATTTATCAGTTCTCTGAAAAAAAGAAAGATGATAAACGGCAGCCCAATATCCATCACAATAACAGCTTGTTTAAAAATAAAGTATTATGTCAGTATTTGTAATTTTCTTTAAAATATTGTTAATCTTAGGGTCTATCTTTAAATAGGTAAACAAGTTTGGTAAATGTGTTAGCATAATTCGAGTACTGGTTACATGTTTTATTGAAACAGAATGAAAGCATTTCATATTTTGTGCCAAATAGATTGATAAAAATGTTTGTTGATTAAATAAGCTTGCTTTTTTTAAAGAATGCCAGACAGTGGTGTTACTGGAATTAAGATCCAGAAAAGACAGATGTGTTCAGTGCCTGAGAAGATAATATCAAATTGTAGCAAGCAGACTAGTAGTGCATCACGGAGCGCATTCTATCAAGGTTAGAAACTTGTATTTTATCTGTAAGGATTATCTGTGGCAAAATCCCATTTTTAACTTAAAATGTCTTTATTGCATTAGCTTCTACCTTAAGAGATAGAGCTGCCAAGCAAAGAGCATTTTCTTCAATATTTGAAATGACTTCAGAGTTGAGAAACAACCAGCAATGTAGTGGAAAAAACATGAAGGAGCAGCAGAATGAGACCAACAACATACCAACAAAAAATGTCACAAGAAACAGTGCAGAATCACAAAACAGGTTTAAGGATGTCGATGAGAAAACATCAAGAAGCAGCAAGATTGTTTCTACTAAACCTGAAATGCCTCTTAATGCTACCAGCATGAATTCTTTAGTAAATCTTAAACACTCAGAATTAGTTATTGAAAAAAATGATTATGATGATGGCTTTGAAGATACTGTGACTAGCTGTGACTTATCTTCTGGGAAAAAAACTACTAAGAAAACTGATCGTGGGAAAAGTGAAAAGGTAAAGTAGGCTTAAATTTTATCATTACTTGCAAGGCTAAGTACACACGCATTGCATATTAGTACATTGTGATTTTATCAAGTAGCCTCTCTAGCATCCTTCATGTCTAAGCTTTATTAATTGATTAAAATTAATAAAAAATAGCATACTACCTCCAGTTTAAAAATGCAGTTTAGGCTGACATCCAGTGATCTCTGGGTGGGTGTCCCAAGCATTTCATGATTAAGATTGCACATACTTCAGGTGCTTGTCTTGTCATAAGAAGAAAATGGAGAGGGCTATTTATCCTTCCTTGTGTGAACAGAAAAAACAGTTTGAGGACAATGTAGATTAGGAAAATGTTAAGCACTCCTCCCTATATTACTGCTCAAATAAAGTTTAGAAACCTTCATGGCTATGTTAAACTGAGGACATACCACTGAAATAATCCACACATAATGTATTTTTTCTTTAAAGAAAAAGAAAGTGCAGTTCATCAAGGTTAGGAACTTTTGTGTGTATAGATTAAATAAGTGTAGAATGAACTTTGAATAAGGGAACAATTTTCTCACAAGAATTGCATCTGTTTTAGCCAAAAGAGTATTCTACCAACCAAGGTTACCTAAGAATATTGCTTTCCTCCTATAATGTATTGTGCCTTCAGTGGAGTCTTTGAAACCAGTGGAGTCTAACTGCTAGGAAAACATACCCTGTTTCCCCTAAAATAAGATCTAACCTGAAAATAACCCCCGTCTGATTTTTCAGGATGCTCGTAATATAAGTCTCTACCCCAAAAATAAGTCTCAGTTAACTGTAACCTTGCCCTCCAGCATTGTGCAGCAACCAGAAGAAGATGACATGACTATATTTGAATAAATGTAAATTGTTGTACATGGAAAAAAAATAAAACATCACCTGAAAATAAGCCCTAATGTGTTTTTTGGAGCAAAATTAATATGATCCTGTCTTATTTTCAGGGAAACAGGGTAGAATGTTCATGAACCTTCCAGTTTCTCAGGAAAAAATGTTTGCAATGCAATATCTGTGCGGAGGGGAAATGGTCTATTTTGGCTGGGATTAAAGCCTCACATTAGCCCATGTTAGAAAGCCTGAGGCTAGGTACAAGTTCTTATGAGGAATGTGGACTGTAGAAAATATTACTCTTTTCCATGGTCTCTGGGACTCACAAAAATGGGAATATTTGCACTTCTACAGGGCAACCTCATTGTGAGTTACAAATGGCCACTCAGAGAACCACTGTTACGTGTTTTTATTAGATCTAGATTCTCTGCCAAAGATGGAGAAGCTGTGGCCCTATATATGTTGGATTCCAACTCCCATCACCCCCAGTCAGTATAGCCAATTGTCAGATATGATACTATATTGTCTAGAAGCCCCTGTGTTCTCCATCCTGTCTATCCCTGACAAGGCTGTTGAGCCAGTACATAGAAGAGGAGTTCTACCATGACTTGGAAACTCTAGGGAAAAAGCTAGGGATAATGAACATGAGAGCAAGACTTCAGAAGAATACTGATTTTGAAGAACTAACGAGCCACTTGTTGGGTTGCTGGCTTAGTATTCCTTGTATAATTTTGGGTAAAGGCTGTCAGGGATCATGGCTGAAATCCTGGCCTACTGAAGCCAGTATTATACCTGCTTATATTCGCCAGGTATTGTAACAGTTCTCTTAATGTTTCTCTAGATCTTTCAGGAGGAGAAAATGTGTTTTTCAGTTGACATGGATTTTAGCAGAAATGTTGGATTTTCTGAATTATGCTGTAAAACATATGAAATTTCAGGCATTTGTATTTTAAGATATATGATAAATTGTTTCCAAAATCTTACAGGACGCGGAATCAAAAGAAATAGTTGAAGCAGCAGAAATGTTAATAAATAACATCAGTGGAAGATACAAACAAAACAGTGGTGTGAAAAATACAAGAAAAATGTCTCAGACATTTTCTGAGAAGAGGTATTATATGTGTGTTTCCTTTTTATAATAGTTTTATTGCTTCAATTGTAGTGAAGTATTTCATACTTACTATATGCATAACTTTAGGAATCAGAAGTGTAACATATGAAGTGCTGCAAGACTTTAGATATATAGGATGTATCGTTTTGACTATTTTTACCTACTGTTCCAACTAGCATTCAGAAGACTCATAAAATTAATTCAAAATATACATTTTAAAGCAAATCAAGAAGAAATAGTACATTTCAGCAATGGGCTGCATCCTTGTGAATGCTTTAAACTAGAGTTGTGGTATACTCTACCAAAATAAATGTTTGACATGAAAGGAAACTTTTCAGGGACTAAATACGTCTGTCTTTCTCATAACTGTTTGTCACTGTTCTTAGTAACTGCTTTTTGCTTCTTTTTTTGTTGGTTTATATACCATCCTGCTGGCAGTATGACCTAGTCAATTAGAAATCACTTTGCCAGTGTGGTGGTGTCGTGATGACACATAGCCAATCAAATTTGGATACACCATTATGTCACAAAACCAACTGTAGTGCTTCATGCTTTGATTGAGAAAGTGTTTTTCACCATGTTTTCAGCCATTATCGAATGTAAATACATAAAAGGGAAGGATAGTTTCCAGAGAAGAACTTTTTTTCTAGATTCTTCTTGGTTAAAATATTTCAACTATGGCAGTAAATGGGTTATGCCAGTTCTGAACTGATTGGCGAACCATGCTTATCTCTAAGTTATAGATGCTGTAGCTAGTCAGTCAAGCGCAACAATCGTGAGATCCCAAAGTTTTCTACTTTTAGAAGAGAAAAATAATAAATAAAGTATTTACAAATAGTCTTACAGATAAAAATTTATTGCAAGGTATTATTGATGAGTGGAATGAAGCTGATACTGTTATACTTATTGGCGAAAACACCTCCCCATAGGTAAAATACTTATTTAGGCCTGTAAACATTAAAATCAACCAGACATGACCCCAAAGATTTATTTAACTTGCAGATGATCTGGTCTGTTTTGTGATTACATAAGAGAAATCAAAGGAAAATAAATACATTTCAGAGAAAATGTAAAATCAGTTACCAATGAAAGGCACAATGTGAAATAACATGTATTAAAACATAATAAAAAGTTGATTTTTATATACAAATTAAGCAATATGCAAAATTAAGTACAAATTTTCTTTACGAATTAGGTACAGGACATCTAAAAATTCAATACTGTCCTTAACCTAAAATGTTTGTTTGTTTATTTGTTTGTTTGTTTGTTTGATTTATACCCCGCCTATCTGGTCTACTCGACCACTCTAGGCGGTTTCCAGTATAGAATAAAACACAAGAACATTACATAATCATTTGATACAGTTACAATAAAATACAGTGAGAATAAAATAAGAAGGAATAGAAAAGAAATCAGGTATTGACTGGAGGGAAGGCCTGGATGTACAACCATGTTTTTAATTGGGTTTTAAAGATTCCCAGCATAGGGGCCGCACGAATCTCTGAAGGGAGGTTGTTCCAGAGGTGAGGAACCACCACCGATAAGGCCCGGTTTGATACTGTGGTCGATGGTATCAAAGGCCGCCGAGATGTCGAGGAGGACCAACAGAGACATTTTGCCCCTGTCTGCCTCCCTCAACAGGTCATCATGCGTGGCGCGGCCTGAAGCCTGACTGAAATGGATCTAGGGCATCTGTTTCATCCAAGTGAGCCTGAGGCTGATCAGCCTCCACCCTCTCCACCACTTTGCTCATGAAAGAAACATTGGTGACGGGCCTATAATTGCCAATTATAGTTGAGTATGTTTCATAAAAACTTTCCTCTTTCTATCCACCTGGCCTGCCCATTTTTGTTCTTGTTATGTGCTGTCAAGTTGCTTCCAATCCTTGGTATTTGAGCAGTTTTCAAAATGTGCTATTAACAGCCCTGCAATCCCAACACTATAGCTTCCTTTACTGAATCAATCCATCTCATATTTGGCCTTCTTCTATTCCTGTTACATTCAGCTTTTCTTAACATTATAGTCTTTTCTAGCATTATGCCTGCTTTTTAACTCTCCTAAATTTGGATTTCCAGTAATCAAAGTATCAAGCAATGCAGAATTTTCTGTACATTTGAGGATGAGGGAATTTTCCTGCCCTGAGACAGTAAGATGTGATTTATTCTGTGCCTTTTGCACCATTATTGTCCTCTCAATAGGACTTACTTTGCAAATAATATTTTAGTAGTACTTTGCTGATCTTGCATAAATGGCAGCTATATTAATTTTACAAAATATAGTAGTCTAGAATACTTTCTTCACAAATGAAGATGGTTGATATACATTTATATATTTTGTCTTGTAGCACATCTTTTAAAAAATCTGGCTTCAGTGTTAGTAAGGTACGTTTGTCAGTATAAGGACATGTATTTTAATATATATATGTTTGAATAAAATAGATTCCTATAAATTGATTTATCACTAGGTCAACCACTGATTAATAATTAGATACTTAAAAGTCCTAATTAATCAGAAGTACTAACAGTGGCCACCTTCCTGACTTCAATTCTGAAAAGAGATGGGGCAGGTCGTACAGACAGGCAATCCCAATAGAGATGGGGCAGGTCGTACAGACAGGCAATCGCAGTAGGGAATGCACCAGTAGAACAAAGGTACAAAATAACACAACCCTCCTGGTGATGGGGAAATGTTCCACAGTTACATTGCTGGCCAAGAAAATGTCTCTATCTTGATTGTGCGTCGTGTGATCAGGCAAAAAAGTGACAAACTAGCGCTTCCCTCATGTGAACAGGGCCTTATTTGGCAGCCTAATTGAAAGCTTCCAACAGGAAGCTCTCACAATGGAAATGAATCTCCACTGAGAAGGCCATATAGCTAACATCTTCCCACAGAACCATCTGAGGAGGGATAAACCATGTCTCACAAGGGAACAAAAAGTATGGAAAGGATTTTGTCATTGTTCTTAGAGAACATTAATGTTGTGCAGATGGCAGAAAAATATAGATAAGACCAACACAGACTTGGACAACTGGTTTTATTGCTGCTGGTTGTTCTGTTTTTGAACAGATCAAGTTCTCATTTTATAGATAAGACCAACACAGACTTGGACAAGTGGTTTTATTGTTGCTGGTTGTTCTGTTTTGGAACAGATCAAGTTCTCATTTTGAACCAAAAATTTCTGATGGTCAGGAGTGCCTTTAACCTGAGGTTCATGTGCTAATAGTGCCTGTTTCTGAGAAGATTTAATCTGGTCAAATTACATCCAGTTTGCAATGTACAATATATGATGCTGCATTTGGAAAGCTTTTGGATGTTTCATTTGGCCCAGAATATTGTTCTGTAGTTTTGAATTTCTGTTAAAATTCCTTTTGCTATGCAGTAAAAGGACAGAGACTTACAGGGGAAAATTCACCAGGCATATAAATTAAATAAATAAAAAAAAAAAATAAATAAAAAAAAAGTCTGCCCCATCTCAGTAACTGGCACTTAAGATCTCAATGACTCACACTGAGGTATTTGCAGGAGAAAGGATAAGAATGTTTCATTACTTGCAGTTGTGAACAGTTCAATAGCAAACTCACAACAAACACTGACTGCTTCCAACTGACTAAAAGGAGGGAAAAGGAAATACTCTGCAGAAAAGCATGGCTCTCTTTTAATTCAGAGGTGGGAAGGAACATCTGGTTAATGCTGGATAGATTGACAGTTACCCCAGTCAGAAAGATGCCTCACAGCTACACCCACTATAGGCAGCATGCTGGTTATAATAACTGCTACAAATACAACTGCAAGAATAATTGTGTACTGGCTCAAGGGATCACGTTGCATCTGTCCTGCAACATCTGCACCAGTTGTGAATCTAATTTCAGGCACATTTTTTTCTTCTGATGATTTTCTTTAAAATCTTACATGTTGAAGTCAAGGAAGCCTGATTCTCCTACTTCTTTCCATAACATCCTTCCTTCACACTAAGATTAGAAAGTACAGTAACACCTTTTTCTATGTCCTATGTAGGATGGAAATATGTTTGATTTCAGTAACAATATTATGGCTTGGTTTACCCCATATTATTGTTGTTACAAAACTGTCGTATTTAAATATTACAAGCCACTTTGAATAGTGTTTTAAAAAGAACGTTCGCTACTAGTTGGACAGGATCCAAATGTAAATGAATGAATAAATAAACAACATATTGTGACCTGAAAGAAGATTATGTACTGGTAGAAGAGTCTGAGAGTTAAAGATCTGTGTTTCTTATTTTTTAACATCTAGAAAAAAAGTCTGAACAGAAGTTATGGAAATTTGGAAACTACTACACTCCTTAATGTAACTGCTAAGCATCTTACGTGAGTAAACATTAATTTCATCCAAGCTGAATCATATTCCAGGTATTAAAAGAACTTTTACACAAGTTTCTCTCTTTTAATAGGAATGATGTCTACAACTTTAACCTAAGTGGATTTGATGAACCTACGATAAAGCTTGGAGTAAGATTATAATTGAAACAAATAATATGGCAATAATTATAAACAGATACCTTTAATTATACAATCACTTTTATGGTCAACACTGTTGCGGTGTGTGGTGGCTAGTCTCAAGCACTTGATTTGCGGGTACCATTGTATAGTAAAGAGTAGACTATGGTCATATAATTCATTATTACATTATTGCCACCATGTGATATGCCCGTGTTCTTCTGATACTACCCCAATTTTCAAGAGTGTACCTCTTCACAGATAGAACCTGTATGAAAGCAGGATCCTTCCCTTCAGTCATGTCGTTCTCCATATGGAGGAAACAATAATAAAGAGAAGTATTAGGAGTGCTCTCTACACATGTTGCCAGCAATTAGATATGTAACAACTGAATAGGGCTATGATATTTACAAAGAGAATGGTAGAAAAAATTATCAGAAGGAGAAGTGTAATGGTGGTGGCTTTTTTATATATGTATTTGCATTTTAGGTACAAGAATTTCATCTCACTAAATTGGAGGCTGCTGCAGATTTTTCAGTGAAGATGTAAGCATATTTATTTTCCCTCAGTGGAAAGACCATTAGGCCAAAACTGCATATAATGTTATCTGATAATAGTAAGATTATAAATTTGGCCTGGCATGTTGGAAGGTAAAATGTTAACACTTGGAGGGGCCATTGGACTGGTAAAAATGGCAGACAAAAAAAACCACATTCAGCCAAATGGAGAATGTATTTAAGAGGCATGCCTGCCCAGTATGATGTAGTGGACAGAGTGACTGACTTAGATCCCTGCTTGGGCATAGATACTCAAGTGGGGAGGGATAGAAATGGGTAAAGCCACTTTTTAAATATCTCAGGTATCTGGAAAGCATTGTTAGGGTTGCTGGAGGTGGGTTCTGATTTGATGGCATAACATAATATAATTGTTACCCTGAGGTATCTCTTATCCCTTTTAGGAATCATGAAACTGAAGGAAAAAGTTTAAACCAAAAGAAGCAAAATAATAAGGTACTTTAAAAGAGAGAATGTCTTATTTTTAAAAAGTAGTAAGTAAATATTTAAAGCTATTTTATGAAAGCACACTGTTAAGGTTAGAAAAAAATCCTTAACTAAAGAGCATAATCTGTTAATCTACTCTCAGGCAGTTTCACCAAGTTTGCTTTCAGATGGCAGGTTCCTAGCACCAACAATCAAAGGTCCATTTTTTTGCACCTTATTTTCCAATCTTTTAAATAATATGAAAGATTAATTGAGAAAATAAATAGCAGGCAACATCATCTGGATGTGGGTGAATGAGGAAAGGTGACTACAAAATACAAGCCTCATCTAAATTCAAGTTTATTTTGCAAATGGTTTACACAGTTTTCTTGTACATGCTCTTGAAATGTGAGAAACTCACTGCTTTTATTTTTCTTTCTATGTCTCTGTGTTACATAGACACAACATACAATTCACAATCTATTTCTGGCTCTAATCCTGAAGTGTACAATATGGTGGATTATTGGTTTTCAGTAATTTCAGTAGGCCCTGTTAGGGTCTCAGTCATAGAACTAATTGAGCTGTACTGGTTCCTTCAAACTTAATGGCAAATGAATGTTTAATTAGTATTTTCTTGTTTTATAGAACAGAAGGAATAAAAGCAAGAAGCATCTTTTTAGTGACACAGACACAGAATGTAGAGGTGATGACACTAAGACAGATATTAGCTGGCTAAGAGAATCCAATAGAAAGCCTAAACCTCAACTGGTTGACTACAGCAGAATCAGAAAGCAGAAGAAATCTGAAACACTGGAAGCAAGTAGGAAAGGTGTTTATTGTATTATAAAGTTGGAAAACATTATTTTACCCTTATTTATTTGTAAAGATGCAAAGAAATATGCAAAGAAAAATGCAGGTTGCATAATATTAAATGTCTCAATAGCCTGTTGCCTTGATAGATCACCAGGGGTAGACTGGGCATCTATAGTGCTATTCCATGCTACAGAGATTCAGTCTATCAAAATCCTAATCAGACTATGCTTGCTAACATGGAAAACAAAAGAGTGGATAGCAAATTGGAAGCATTCAGCATACATTCCAATCTGAAAGAAAGAACATACCAAAAAAATTCAGTAACTGTTGGGTCATTGGATTAATTTCCAGTGCAATCACGTTTTCTTGTTCACATATCGTAGACACACTAAAAAATTATACAGGAATAACCCTCTTTTATGGCAAGGCTTAAAATTTGCCACATAGGAGGCACAAAATTAATTTTCATTTGACTGTTTGGGAAGATGTTTGCTTGTTTAACTATTTCCTACTGTTCTTCTTCATTGGATAAAAACAGGATTCGGTTGTACTAGTTAAAACAGAACTGTACTATCTCAGTGGTTTGCTACTGGGGGAATCTGAACAATAGTGTAGGCCTTAGGTTTCCTGGATTTTTTTTTCTGCATCCCTAGTGGGTCACTTCATTCTTTCAAGATCTCCTAGGGATGTCTGTTTCTGTTTTTCACTCTTACCTATTCCTGTCTTTTTCTGCTCACTGTCTGGCCAGAAAGCTCCCATTAGGGACAAGATACCAGTTTCTGCAGTTCTGCAGGTTCTAAGAAGTTTAAGCAATGTTTTATTCTGGACTACTGTAATGCTCATGATATTAAAAAGCCTTAAGCTCTGACTTCAGAAACAGGAACATAGGAGCTAATAAATTTCTGATTGACTTCCCATCACTATGACAGAAGAGGCTGCAGGACAGCAGGTCTGCTTAAGGCCTGATTATGACTTACTGTGTTTGGAATTTACATTGATGAAGCATTTTAGGAAATAGAAGTATCACAAAAATGCTTCCAGCCCTTCTAGCTTGAAAATTCAGTTCTGTCATGTTTAAAATCAATAAACCTGAACCAGAACAAACTGTTAAGCAGGAAGAATAGATTCACTCACCACAAATCATTGTCACATCATGATTTCACATAAATATATCTGTATTTATTAATGTGATCTGGTGTATATTTATTGAAGTGTCTCTATAAAAAGAGTAACAAGATTTAAATATTTG